TCTTACCAGCATCGTGTCTGATCAGCAGCTTGATTGTCTCAACGATGCTCGTGAGATACTGTCACGTGGGGTTAAGCCTGCACCACCTTGCATCGTGTCCAATCAGCAACTTTATGCTCTGGACTGTGGTGCGAGGTGGTGCAGTCTTAACCCCACATGACAGGGTCTTACCAGCATCGTGTCTGAACAGCGATCTGGACTGTTGCGCAGGGTGGGTGCAGTCTTAACCCCAGGTGACAGGGTCTTACCAGCATCGTGTCTGATCAGCGCCTTGATTTTCTCAACGTTGCTGGTGAGACACTGTCATGTGGGGTTAAGAGTGCACCACCTTGCATCGTGTCCAGTCAGCAACTTTATGCTCTGGACTGTGGTGCGAGGTGGTGCAGTCTTAACCCCAGGTGACAGGGTCTTACCAGCATCGTGTCTGAACAGCGAACTGGACTGTGGCGCAGGGTGGGTGCAGTCTTAACCCCAGGTGACAGGGTCTTACCAGCATCTTGTCTGATCAGCGGCTTGATTGTCTCAATGATGCTGGTGAGATACTTTCACCTGGTGTTAAGACTGTACCACCTTGCAACGTGTCCAATCAGCAGCTTGATGCTCTGGACTGTGGTGCGAGGTGGTGCAGTCTTAACCCCAGGTGACAGGGTCTTACCAGCATCGTGTCTAATCAGCGGCTTGATTGTTGCCTAGGGTGGTGCAGTCTTAACCCCACGTGACAGGCTCTTGCCAGCATCGTGTCTGATCAGGGGCTTGATTGTCTCCACGATGCTGGTGAGATACTGTCACCTGGGGCTAAGACTGCACCACCTTGCATTGTGTCCAATCAGCAGCTTGATGCTCTGGACTGTGGTGCAAGGTGGTGCAGTCTTAACCCCAGGTGACAGGGTCTTACCAGCATCGTGTCTGATCAGCGCCTTGATTTTCTCAACGATGCTGGTGAGACACTGTCATGTGGGGTTAAGAGTGCACCACTTTGCATCGTGTCCAGTCAGCAACTTTATGCTCTGGACTGTGGTGCGAGGTGGTGCAGTCTTAACCCCAGGTGACAGGGTCTTACCAGCATTGTGTCTGATCAGCGGCTTGATTGTTGCCTAGGGTGGTGCAGTCTTAACCCCACGTGACAGGGTCTTTCCAGCATCGTGTCTGATCAGCGGCTTGATTGTCTCAACGATGCTGGTGAGATACTGTCACGTGGGGTTAAGACTGCACCACCTTGCATCGTGTCCAATCAGCAACTTTATGCTCTGGACTGTGGTGCGAGGTGGTGCAGTCTTAACCCCACATGACAGGGTCTTACCAGCATCGTGTCTGAACAGCGATCTGGACTGTTGCGCAGGGTGGGTGCAGTCTTAACCCCAGGTGACAGGGTCTTACCAGCATCGTGTCTGATCAGCGCCTTGATTTTCTCAACGATGCTGGTGAGAACTGTCATGTGGGGTTAAGAGTGCACCACTTTGCATCGTGTCCAATCAGCAACTTTATGCTCTGGACTGTGGTGCGAGGTGGTGCAGTCTTAACCCCACATGACAGGGTCTTACCAGCATCGTGTCTGAACAGCGATCTGGACTGTTGCGCAGGGTGGGTGCAGTCTTAACCCCAGGTGACAGGGTCTTACCAGCATCGTGTCTGATCAGCGCCTTGATTTTCTCAACGTTGCTGGTGAGACACTGTCACGTGGGGTTAAGAGTGCACCACTTTGCATCGTGTCCAGTCAGCAACTTTATGCTCTGGACTGTGGTGCGAGGTGGTGCAGTCTTAACCCCACATGACAGGGTCTTACCAGCATCGTGTCTTACCAGCATCGTGTCTGAACAGCGAACTGGACTGTGGCGCAGGGTGGGTGCAGTCTTAACCCCAGGTGACAGGGTCTTACCAGCATCTTGTCTGATCAGCGGCTTGATTGTCTCAACGATGCTGGTGAGATACTTTCACCTGGTGTTAAGACTGTACCACCTTGCAACTTGTCCAATCAGCAGCTTGATGCTCTGGACTGTGGTGCGAGGTGGTGCAGTCTTAACCCCAGGTGACAGGGTCTTACCAGCATCGTGTCTGATCAGCGGCTTGATTGTTGCCTAGGGTGGTGCAGTCTTAACCCCACGTGACAGGCTCTTGCCAGCATCGTGTCTGATCAGGGGCTTGATTGTCTCCACGATGCTGGTGAGATACTGTCACCTGGGGCTAAGACTGCAACACCTTGCATTGTGTCCAATCAGCAGCTTGATGCTCTGGACTGTGGTGCAAGGTGGTGCAGTCTTAACCCCAGGTGACAGGGTCTTACCAGCATCGTGTCTGATCAGCGCCTTGATTGTCTCAACGATGCTGGTGAGACACTTACCTGGTGTTAAGACTGTACCACCTTGCAACTTGTCCAATCAGCAGCTTGATGCTCTGGACTGTGGTGCGAGGTGGTGCAGTCTTAACCCCAGGTGACAGGGTCTTACCAGCATCGTGTCGATCAGCGGCTTGATTGTTGCCTAGGGTGGTGCAGTCTTAACCCCACGTGACAGGCTCTTGCCAGCATCGTGTCTGATCAGGGGCTTGATTGTCTCCACGATGCTGGTGAGATACTGTCACCTGGGGCTAAGACTGCAACACCTTGCATCGTGTCCAATCAGCCACTTTATGCTCTGGACTGTGGTGCGAGGTGGTGCAGTCTTAACCCCACATGACAGGGTCTTACCAGCATCGTGTCTGAACAGCGATCTGGACTGTTGCGCAGGGTGGGTGCAGTCTTAACCCCAGGTGACAGGGTCTTACCAGCATCGTGTCTGATCAGCGCCTTGATTTTCTCAACGATGCTGGTGAGACACTGTCATGTGGGGTTAAGAGTGCACCACTTTGCATCGTGTCCAGTCAGCAACTTTATGCTCTGGACTGTGGTGCGAGATGGTGCAGTCTTAACCCCAGGTGACAGGGTCTTACCAGCATTGTATCCGATCAGCGATCTGGACTATGGTGCAGGGTGGGTGCAGTCTTAACCCCACGTGACAGGGAAAACCCCATGTAAACTCATCAATCATATTATTCACCGGTTAAATTGCGATCCATGGCAGTAATGTCACTGGCCTGATTTTGCAGGATCTTCTTGACGGCTTCAGAAAAAAATTCTGTTTTGGCTTGATCCATCATCTGTTTGTATCCTTGGGTCTTTGAAAGTGAAAGTGTCCTAAAAAATCTGTACCTGCTGTGCTGTCCTTGGACTCGATGTGAAAGTGCTCAGACAAATCTGAACTGAGCTAAGGTTGATCTGGAACCTAGATGTAGATTATCAGAAAGAATGTTGGTTTTTGTATCAAAGTAACATTCTATTGGGTTTGATCTTTGAATGACATCATGACATTCTGATGACATCACAGCAAAAGATAAAAGGAATTTAAAAAACAACATTCCGATGTAAAAACTATTTAAAAATAAACAAACTTTGCCAATATTTGACTGATTTAATCTTACAAAATACACTATTTATAACAAAAATAAATAAATAAAAATAGATTGAATTGAATAACGTTTTAGAGTCAATGTTTTTGCAGCACAGTTAGCATGTGGTCAGAAAGTTATATTAATGGTGTACATTACTCGCAGATATATAGGCAATGTGTGAGCGCATGGAAGCTAATGTTAGCTAGCTAGCCAATTACCACAATGCTAGCTAATTATTTGACTGATGGGGAGTTTTGTGGCATTTTAGTGTTATAAGTGTATTTGAAATGACAGTTACCCAAAAATAAAACCAGATAAACCTGTTGAACTGTGCTGTACTTTCAATTTGTACAAAGCAAAAACGAGATCCTGTTCTGATGATGGAATACTTTTAACATGAAGTTCAAATCAATACATATGATACCCTAATATACCCCCTACTACCTGAATATATAAATCATTGTGTTTTGTTAGTTGGTCCTCTTCTAGTGGCAGAGTCTGCCATGTTGAAACCATGTTTCTACAGTGGCACAGAACAGACAAACCAAACACTGGCGGTAGAGAGGGACACACAGCCTGTTCTCATTCCCAGGTTGTTAAATACAGATGCGAGTGGTGTTCAGTTTGTTGCAATCAGAAACTTCACCACTAGATGCCACTAAATCCTTCACACTGGTCCTTTAAATAAATAAAAGATAATGTTGCTTTTTATTTGCTGAATTTGTACATTTACATTAAACCTTCGTTCTCAGAGGTTTCCTTTTTAAATATTGATTTCTGTGTTAACTTAATCAATAATTGGCAAAGAATTCCATGTTTTCATTGCTCTTTATTTTACTGAGTATTTAAAGGAATTTGTGTTTGCCTTAGAGCACCAGTTCCCAACCTTTTATCTTAAGGGACCCCTTTCTATCCTTCAGTAAACTGACTCAGTGACATATTTTATTAATATTTCATATTGTATTAAAAACTGAACAATGAACCCAAACAGTGAACTCAGTAACTGCAGGAAGTTTGTGTAAAACCAGTGATTTGGATGAATTTTGAGCAGATAATTTCCTGTTTAGGGAACATTTATACAATTCTCTGTCTGTATTATGTATTTTGTTCAATTTTAACAATCAAACATACTTATTAGGTTTCTTTTTTTACACATTCAGTGTTTTTGTCTCCTTGAAGCTTGGCCATTGTTCTATTAGACAATTTACTTACATTCACAGAAGTGAATCTACTGTGTATATTTTTTAAGTTTTCACTTAAAATCAAGCCAATTATTTCCTGAGTTTTCTCTTCTATGTATTTTGTTTATTTTTAATTAATTTTTTGACAAATTCAGTGTTTTCTTAGACCTACTTTGTATATTTTTCTTCTCTTCTTTCTCTTACACCCCAGATTCTAAACTGTATTTTAACAGACATTAACCTAAAGGACCAGTCTGTAGATGTGATTTAACACCATCTAGTGGTGAAGCTGCAGATTACAACCAGCTGAATAAATGCTTCATTTACCAACATATTGTATTATGACACCAGTGCATTGTGGGTTGCCATTTGAGAAAGAGAAAACAGTCACAGAGGTTTTGACAGAGACGGTTTTATTGTCATCAACAGAGCCGAAGTCAGTGTGAACAGAAAATATAACGTCACACACATCACATGAACCGTTTCTTATATATATATATATATATATATATACTGAACGTATACACACACTGAGGGGGGGGTGCAGCCCCAGCGAGGCTATGCAAAAGTATACACATTCACACGAGAGCCGGTGTTTAAGTATCTCAGCGGATCCTGATACGACCTTAATAAACCGTCTGACAGCTTCCATCTTCAGCGTGTGTTCATAAGGCAGGAGGCTCTACTTGATACAGACGGCTGGTAAAGCAGGTGAGTTCAGGTGATTTCAGGTGATTTTACACATTGAGGAGTAAACAGGAGTCTGACTGAGGAGCAACACACCTCTCACACACACATACACACACTTACACACACTCACACACACAAACCAGCGGGCTGATGGGAAGTTTAGACGCTGCTCAGTGCGTCCACACCTGGCAGGACTTTACCTGAGGACACAGAGAGAGACAGACAGTCAGCATCGAGCTCCAGCACACACACACTTTTTATTTATGTGTCTGAATGTTGTTGTTGTTGTTGTTGTCTCTCACCCTCCAGCAGCTCCAGACTGGCGCCGCCACCCGTGCTCACGTGGCTGACCTTGTCTTCTGTGTTCCACTTGGCGCAGCAGGTGGCGGTGTCGCCCCCACCTGGACACAAACACAATCAAACTTTATTTGTAGAGAACATTTCGTACAGTTCAAAGAGCTTCAGACGATAAATATGATAATATTTTACAGGTAGAACGTGAAAAGTTATACTGAAAACTAAATAAAGTAAATTAAAAATGAAATTTACAAAAGAAGATAATAATGTGTAAAACTCATTCCTTGGTTAAAAAGGTTTTAAAACATTTCTAATTCACATTTTACGGTTTTATTAAAACAAAATAAAACACATCTGCAGCTCAGGTTGCAGTGTTAGACCCACAGACAGATTAAACAAACAAACAAACAAACAAACCGATGATTGTGATGCAGCCTGATTTGGTCACTTCGACCACTTTGTCCATCAGGTTCTTCGTCCCTTTGGCAAAGTTGTCCCACTCAAACACGCCGACCGGACCGTTCCACACGATCTGCTTGGCCCGGCCCACCGCGGCGCCGTAGGCCTTCGAGCTCTCTGGTCCGCAGTCCAAACCCTGCGGAGGAAAAGAGCGGGAGGTTTTAATCTGAACGGCGTGGCGTGGGAGGCGGGCGTCTGTCCGTCAGATCCGGTACTCACCATCCAGCCAGCGGGGATGCCCGCGGCGACGGTTGCCGTGCCAGTGGTGGCTTTCTCATCGAACTTCTCGGCGGTGACGAAGTCGACGGGCAGCGTGATCTTGACGCCGTTCTTCTCCGCTTTGGCCATCAGGTCCTTGACGATGCCGGCGCCCTCCTCGTCGTACAGAGAGGTTCCGATCTGACAACGGAGGGAAAACGTTAAAATAACTAAAGAGACAATTACAGAAACACGACATCATCGCTTTATATCGCCACTCGCGTCCTCCGATCAACGAGGTTTTATTGTACAAATAACAACGATTTAAAAGAAACCTTGAAATATGTTGGCTTCAGATGATTGTTTCATGTTGATGAGTTTAAGAAGTGATGATGGACCGGGACTCTTCACTAAAGCAACTTCATATTTATTAATACAATTAATTTACATAAAAATCACTTTAAAGTTGTTTAAGATCAAAACGTTTTCCCAGAACTATTAAAGCCAAATAAATCTATTTAATAAATCACATTATTCTTTAGAGTTCAGATTATTATCATTATAAGGATAAACCACTGATTCAAATTAAATCCTTTTTAATAATAATAATAATAATAATAATAATAATAATAATAATATCGATCGCACTCAGACTGTCAGAGGAAAAGAAATAAAAGGTTTAATAAAGTGAGTTTGTGTAAACTAACGTTGTGAAACCGCTTTGTTTAGTTTTATCTGAACGTCACGTTCATGTAACCTATAAAGAGTTTGTTTAAAGGGTCAGTTCACCCAAATGATAACAGAGATTTCCACACTGCAGCTTTATATCTGAGCTCTCTGTTACACTTCAACCTTAAAGCTGAAGTTACTTTAATAAAGCTCCAACTACAGTTCGTACTCTGGCGGTTGTAACCAGGAAGTGTAACGTTCTTCATATACAGCACGTTTCATCTCCAAGGCAACCAACGTTTGAACAAAAGCACAAACAAAACAAATTATTAAAAAAAAAACATAAAGAGGAAACAAATAAAAGCGTCCAGAATAAAAACAATAAAGCAAACTGACACACGATTAATTAAAGATTAATTCAGTAGAAAACAGGAAGCTCAGATCTTAGTTTAAACTCTGACTCAGTAACCAGAACCAGACCTGGTTCTACTGGCTAATAATAATAATAATAATAATAATAATAATAATAATAATAATAAGCACCATCATACGTTTGCTGAATTCCCTATGATACGTTCCTGTTTGCAGTGCACACACACACACACACACACACACACAGTTACTTTTATACTGAAGAAAACTTTATATTGTAATAATAAAATAACATAACGAATGTCTGTTTCTATTATTATTATTATTATTATTATTCCCAAACAGTTGATTAGTGATCAGAGATGATGAAGCAGAACTCAGTGAATCTATCAATGTGATCAGATCTGATCGAGTTATTGGATTCAGAAAAGGCTCAAACTGCAGCAAACGAGGGTTTTATAGTTAATAACCTTTAACAGCTGCTATGAGCCGTGTGTCAGTGCTGCTTCAACGGCTCCTGTGACTAATAATAAATAATAACTAATAAACTAATAATAACTAATAATAACTAATAAACTAATAATAACTAATAAACTCTAATAATAACTAATAAACTAATAATAACTAATAAACTAATAATAACTAATAAACTAATAATAACTAATAATAACTAACTGTAAACTCCAGCCTCCCCCAGCCTCCCTCCCCTCTCGCAGTATCTGTGTTATTGATTCTCAGAATCTGGGAACATGAAACCTGAAGTGAACCTGATAAATGTTCCTTTGTGATTTGAGTGAACTGAACCTTTAAATAAAGTTTATCTCCTTTAGAATCCGTCAGACGTCAGACTCTCAGATTCTCTTGTGAAACCAAAACGTTTCCCAACTGTTTGAGTGTCGATCAGCTCGGTCGCCGACAGGTGAACAAACACCTGAAAGTTCATTCAGGATCCGTTTCCACCCTGAAACCTGCTTCATGTGTTTCACACTGGAGGCACATTGAACAACAACAACAACAACAACTGTATATAGCTGTATATAATGATGTCATACTGAATGCTAAATGTGTGTCACTGATGTTTTAGAGCCTATTTGAAGGTTTATTAACTTTTTACAGGATAAAACTGATTAAAAACAGTTCGATTCGTGTCCGACTGTCAGACCCAGAGCATGATGGGAAACCCCTGACTCTCAGTGTCTTCAGTTTCTGTGGTTTTAATATTTAAAATGTCTAGATTGTAGCTGTTTGTGTGTTTGATAATAACAAGGTTAAAGTCTGTGTGTGAACGCGGTCTGAAAGTCGACCTACAGACACCGACTGCCCCCCCCACCGGGTTCTTCCTCACCTCCATGTTGTTCAGGACTTTGAGGAAGGTGAACGCCATCCCGCCGCCGATGATCATCTCATCGACCTGATCCAACATGTTATTGATCAGCTGGATCTTATCCTTCACCTTCGCTCTGCAGACAGACAGGCAGAGAGAGAGACAGGCAGAGAGACAGAAGAGAGAAGAGAGAGAGAGACAGACAGACAGACAGACAGACAGAGAGACAGACAGAGAGAGAGACACAGAGGGGGAGAGAGACACAGAGAGACAGACAGAGAGAGAGAGAGAGACAGAGAGAGACAGACCGACAGAGAGAGAGACAGACAGAGAGAGAGAGACAGAGAGAGAGAGACAGGCAGAGAGACAGACAGACAGAGAGAGAGAGAGACAGGCAGAGACAGACAGAGAGAGAGAGACAGAAACAGAAAGAGAGACATAGAGACAGAGACAGACAGGCAGAGAGGCAGAGAGACAGACAGACAGAGAGAGACAGAGAGAGACAGAGACAGAGAGACAGACAGACAGAGAGACAGGCAGATTATTTATGATCAATTAAATATGGAAATAATCTCCATAAAGTCTCTAAAAGACGAGATTTTATTATTTAATCTGAATTCTTTTGTTTTGTTTTGGACTCTGTGGTTCTGGTTTATTAGTTGTTGTATTTGTCTGATATCAGCTGTACAGAGAGAATATTGATCTACAGAGAGAATATTGATCAGCTGCAGTCTCACATTGTCTCAATAAAAGATAAAACAGTTGCCGCGGCGATTACTTTCCCGGCTCATAAACCTTCAGACTCTCTGATCTGGATCCTCTAACGACATCTTACTGGTTCCCGTAGCAACACGCCCCAGTTACTGATTACAGCCCATAAATCAACAATCAATCAGTATTCAGCTACCAGAGGATGTTTATCAGTTTGCTCTCTGTGATCATTACACTCCAAAGCTCGCTGGATGCTGATTGGCTGCCGGATGCTGGCGGTTGCACAACGGGCTGAAACGGACTCTGACACAAACTGAGGTTCTGTTGGAGCCGCAGAGACACAGACGTAGGATATTCTCACTGTACTCTCTCCCACCTGTGTAACATCAGCTGCATTCTTCATTACAGACTATAGAGACTATTTATTATACACATATATTTATATATTAGCTGTATTCGCTCTGATGAAGGAGAAAACTATTATATAATAATATAATAAGTAAAAGTGAAGAAGACGACGACGACACTGTGTGACCTCTGAACTCTGCAGGTTATATAATGAGCTTAAAGTCTCTATTCCTGGACGAGAGAGAGAGAGAGAGAGAGAGAGAGAGAGAGAGAGAGAGAGAGAGAGACAGACTTCATGAACCTGTCTCACCCTCCGAGGATGGCGAGGAACGGTCTCTGAGGTTTCTCCAGAGCCATCGCAAAGTAGTCGAGCTCCTTCTTCATCAGGAAACCTGCCGCCTTCTGAGGAAGATTCACCCCCACCATGGAGCTGGGACAGAGGAGGAGGAGGACAGAGGAAGAGGAAGATGTCATTATCATATAAACTCAATAAATCACGTCACCGTATCCATGGCAACCAGCTCACCTGTGGGCCCTGTGAGCCGTGCCGAAGGCGTCGTTGACGTAAACGTCTCCCAGCTTGGACAGAGACGCCCTGAAGGAGTCGATCTGCTCCTGGGTCGCCTTCGTCTGAGGGACAGACAGACAGAGTTCAGACAGACAGATAGACAGACAGAGTTCAGACAGACAGACAGACTCTCTCCTGAAAATCAGACACTGTCTCATTTTCATTATTATGAGCAGCAGTTACATCACCTCGATTCAAAATTCAAAAGACTCAAAGAATGTTTCAGACATTTCTCTGTCAATAAAAATATCCACATTTTTAACAATTAGTAGATTAATCTGTTAGTTGTTGACTATTTAATTAATTGGTAAATAAGTAGATAATAAGTTGTTTGTTAAACACATTCTCTGATTCCTCTCTGACATTAAACTGAATCTCTGTGGATTCGAGGACGTCGCCTTCAGCTTTGGGAAACTGTAATCAACATTAATTTGATAAAACGACTCGGGGCTGAGCTCCTTTAGGTCCGTGGGTCTTTGTGGATCAGGTTCCTGCTGCTCTTTAACAGGCGAAGGTCGCGACTCTGCGACTGGAGGACAGAAAAAGGTCAGAGAGCACTTCAGTGTCGCTCAAATGTCAGACGAGTGCTTCGTTACTCGAGCTCCTCCAGCGACAGCAGGAAGACGTTACAGAAATATTCCTCCGAGCTCCGACTGGGAGAAACGTTTGTGTAGTGAACTAAAAATAGAGTTTCCTGTCTGATACAGTACAGTAGGAACCGACCCAGCAGACCACATACCGAGCCAGCAGACCACATACCGAGCAGGCCTCTCGGGACAGGAAAAGCAACCCGCTGACCTTCAGGATAAATGTCAGCAGGTCAAAGCCCCCCACACACACACAACCTCCACACCCCGGGATCTGTACTCTGTCAGACCATCTGCATCCCTGAATAATGAGGGAGTCCTCGCTGCATCCAGAGAGCATTAAGGACTGTTTTAGTGGCTCTACAATAATCAGGGTTCACAGTCTTTAAGAAATCACTTTCCAGGAACTTTCCAGGACTTTTTCTTGACAATCCAGGACAACACTTCCTCACAAACGGTCATAAAATCTGCGAATGACTACATTAATCTGACCACAGCTCATCAGTAACAGTTCAAATCAAGTCGAATTTATTTTATTTTACAGGAAATTCCTCTTCTATAAAGTTAAAGTAGAGCAGTATAGAGTTCACTGCACGTACAGTTAACATCATACAACATCATATTTATCTGATTCTGTATGACTGCAATACAGAACCAGGTTTGTGCGGAGATCTGAGTGAGGGGCTGAAATACAAACACTTCCAGGTGTTTCCACAACTGGAAAACTAGTCTCTATATTTCCAGGTTTTCCTGCCAAAACTAAACCAAAGATTAAATAATCTAACAACTGAAAGACAGAAAACAGACAAATAAAAAAATAAAAAAATCAGGATATTGTTTCCTCAGTACGTCTCCATCTATCACATTAAATTACATCTCTAATATAAATAACATACACGTTATTAATAATATAAATAAAGTAGAGCGCTACAGTGTGTGTGTGTGTGTGTGTGTGTGTGTGTGTGTGTGTGTGTGTGTCTCTGACATCAGACGGTGACGCAGCGGTTTCACTGCAGCTGGAGTGACTGAGCACTTTTTCCTCCCGTTGACCGAACAAAGTCAGCCGGACGGAGAGAGAGAGAGAGAGAGAGAGAGAGAGAGAGAGAGAGAGAGAGAGAGAGAGAGAGAGAGAGAGAGAGTCGGACTGGTTCTGTTCTTCCAACGTGTTTTATAGAAGAATAAATATATTGATCAGTAGAGGTCGTTACTGGGTTCGACCCTTCAGAACCTGAAATGTTCTCTTTTGTTTTAATGAACTAAAATCAGGTAACGAGCTGTTTCTCAGTTTAAACACTGATATCTAACAGTTGGAGGTTTAAACACAAATATTAATACAGTGTTTTATCGATGAGCTTTTGTTTTGGTAGTGCCTTCTCTGTCTTTTATTTTGACGACCTCCGATAAAATACAGGCTGCAGCGTCTATAAGACAGGAAACTGACGCTGGTTCACATGGATAAATTCATAATACTCTATTGTTTCAACTTTACTCTTTTATTAATATTTAAGTGCTGTTGTTGTTGTTTGCTGTTGTTGTTTTTATTGTAGATTTTAATGTATGACGGTAAATGTTTGCAGGGGTTAGGGTTAACCCTAGCACCGATGAACGGCGCCCTCAGTCAGACTCACCTTGTTCCCGGAGGCGTCTTTGCCTTTCCCCTCCTCGGCGACGTGGAAGCGGAGGTTCTCCAGCAGGATGACGGACCCGGCGGCGGGGCTGGCGCAGGCGGCTTCCACCTCGGCGCCGACGCAGTCCTTCAGGAAGGTGACGTCCCTGCGGAGTGACAGAGGAGCAGTGAGCGACACAGTTTCTGATTGGACGTCTCTCAACGAGCTCCGCCCCCCCCACACACACACACTCACAACCCACCTCCCCAGCAGGGTCTTGAGCTCGGCGGCGACCGGCTGCAGCGAGTATTTCTCAGGCATGGGGTTCCCGTCGGGGCGTCCCAGGTGGCTCATCAGCACCACGGATTTGGCTCCGTTGTCCAGGCAGTGTTGGATGCTGGGAACGGCCGCCTTCACCCTGGAAACCAACAGCAGAGAGATTAAAGCTCAACTTCCTGTTTTATTTATGATTAAAGGTTCGTTTATTATAGAAGAACGTTTCTGCCTTTAAAGAAACTTAATCTTGGTTAAAAAAAATCATAATTGTGAGATTAAATCTTATAATTCTGATTTAACGTGAACTCTTTTTCATTATCGAGGTTAATAAAAAGTTTTAATCTTATTCTTTTTATATTTACTGGCAGAAATGAGCTTTAATAGTTTATTGATTTGAGCTTGAAGACCAGAGAAGATGGTTCAGACTTTACCTCTGGTTGTTGGTGATCTGTTTGTCCTTCATTGGAACATTAAAGTCGACCCTGAAAGAGAAAAATCAACGTGTTACTGATGTGATTTCCCACAATCCCGCTGTTCTCCAGCTGTGAATGAAACATTATCAGAGTTCAAAGCCAAATGTTTACTTTCTGCATCTGGACCTTCAAATATTATCTGTATGCATCCACCTGATTCAATACTTTTATTAATATGCAGGTCAGCAGTAATTTAGGTTAACTCCATTCTGTCTAAATAAATAAAAAATTAACTAAAAATAGCACATTTTACATTTTAGTACTGTTAATGTTTATTAAAGTAAACTCCACCTTTTTACAGGGTCAGTAAAGTTGTTTTTACTCAGAGACAACTGCACAAAAATGTAATTAATTTAACTTTTAAATGGCCGGAAATGAAGAAACATCTTTAATTTTAAAGCCTTTAACGTCGAGTTCCTGTTTATCTCCCCTGCAGAGTTCATTCTGGAGCAATATCCACCTTCAGTCTCTTACGCAATGAACACCCTGTTGCTGCAATGCATTGTGGTGCCCGTATGTTTATCAGGCTTTCAGTACAAAAACACAGCCAACAGAGACAAAAGCTCAGACACCTCCATTATCTGGAGGCTTGTACCCAGAATTCCTTTTTCACTGGCGCCGTCGCATTGCCCCTCCTGCCGAGCCGCGGCCGTGCAGCGATGCACGAGAACACGCTGCATCCCTCGTCCTCCAGGCGGTTACGTAACCACCTCCCTCCTCCCTCACACACACACACACACACACACACACACACACACACCACACACACACACACACACACACTCTAACAGCGGTCCACTGTCTCAGCCTGAAACCCAACAGTCAGCATTCAGCGGATCAGCACACCTGCAGTAGTTTTCCGCTCTGAACCGACGTTCACACTCCGGTCTGCACAGTTCATCCAGATCACAACATAACTGAGCTTTATTCACATTAACTGCAGTATTTTAATAATAAAGTAGTTGTGCAGAGATTCCCTGACCTACAACTGTTGATCTCCAGATGGAAGAAAACATGTTTGTCTCTTAAAGACGTCAATTAAACATCATTTTAATCTTTTTCTTCCAATAAAAATGTAAATTACAACACAAAACTAATCGTGAATCACATAACAATCATAACACCTGTGAACTTTAACTGTATGAAGCTCTATCGGACTCTCTGGAGGCAGAAATAATCTCTGTGGATGAGTTAAACAAACAAAACTAAAGAATAATTTAGATTGTAAATTCAACAGTCAACCATCCTTTTTCCTTTGTCCTCAGAATCTGGCAGCTGATCAGATTTCCACCAGGCGCTACCGACTCTACAGCAACCGTCCCTCTTTTTAATTCTGGGCCAGCAGCTCACCCACAATGCACTCTGTCTGCAGCTGGAGGTTCATCACACACACACACACACACACACACACACACACACACACACACACACACACACACACACACACACTCAGCGAGCTCTGACAGGCCTGTGTGTGATACGAGGTGACTGATTGTCTCCACTAACTCCGCTCAGAGTGAATTTTGACCTTTTGACGGCGAGCACGGCGAGCTGGGGGCCGCCACCGCTGCCGCCCGTGAACCTTGTCCTATGCTGCCCGGCGTTGCACCACCGACCCGAGCAAACCCCCGAATGGCCCTCTGACATTTTCACACAGGGTGTCGGTTTCAAGTATCCAGGCAGGGAGAGTTTAAAGGCTCCTCGTTCTTATTAACTTAAACTAAAGAGATTATACTCGCAGGAGACGGAGGAAGGGATTAAAACCTGACTGCCTACGAGCAAGGCACCGAACCAGCTGGTGGCTTAAAGACGACTGCACCTGAACAGTGATGGGATCGTTACTCAGGAAATGTAATTTAGTGTTTTTAATCAGGGTTGATACAGATTATTAATACCCAATAAAACCAATAACTTCTATATATTAAGTGTCAGCCTATAGAACAACCAGTGTTTGAGTGTAAAGTACATTTATTGTATGCAAGTACAATTTATACTTTATTCTTCCACATTTTGGAGGCAAATATTGAACTTTTTACTGCACATTATTAATACAATATATAAATAAAGATGTATTATTAGAGACTGAGCCACCCAGCAGTATAAAGTAATTAGAGTAATGAACGAGTGAATGAGTATTTTTACTGTTGATCTGCAGCTTTTAAAACATGAAGCATGTTTAATTAAATGTATTTATGTATTTAGTTATTAGCTCCTCTCTGTCTGCTGTAGTGTAGAGTTGGTTCAATACATCCATCCATTACTGCAACCTTACACTGCTCGGTCTCATTTATTTTATTTATTTATTCACAATGGTGTTTGATGTAGTTTATCAAGAAAAACTACAAACATGTGCAGCTTCCTCTTCCTGCTATCTGGAAACTTCCATTAAGGCTCAAATATATCGATCACTTCCCATTCATTTGAGGATTTTAAGGTGGAATGACTCAATACATACAACCTGAACGCCCACTCTGACTCTCTCAGGTTATTAATGCAGATTGAATGTCACTGATTACAACCTGTAAACGTTGGATTACTGCAGTGCTCTCATTTAATCTGACTCATCTCCATCCATGCAGCATCTCCTCTCGGGCACGTAACGTGGAGGGAAAACGTGACAGCCACCAGGTTCGCTTCCTGTCCTCCAGAACTGAACCAGAACCTACCAGAACCTAGCAGAACCTTTCTGTCTGCACATTACAGCTGTGGGACAGTTCAGGGTTTAACGCCGCCGGAAGGAAGAAGACATGTTCCTTAGCAAGATAGCTTCACGTCAATTAGCATCGTTAGCTCGCCGATTAAACGCTCACCTCATGATGACGCGCTTCCCCTTCACGTCCACCTTGTCCAGGGTGAGTTTGTTAGACAGAGACATTGTTCGCTGGGTGTTCGCTGAGTGTTCGCTGGGTGTTCGCTGGGTGTTCGCCGGGTTTCTCCTCCGCTTCCTTTCGGCTGGTTAGCTCCCGAATGACAGCGGTGACCTTAGCGCGGAGGTACAGCGGCGGGGGGCGGGACGGAGCGCACCTCCTCGCTGCTGATTGGCTCACAGCGCGGAGGCACAGCGGCGGGGGGCGGGACGGAGCGCACCCCCTCGCTGCTGATTGGCTCACAGCGCGGAGGCACAGCGGCGGGGGGCGGGGGAGCGCACCTCCTCGCTGTGATTGGCTCCAGCGCGGAGGTCAGGGGCGGGGGCGGGACGGAGCGCACCCCCTGTGCTGATTGGCTCCGCGCGGAGGCATAGCGTTGAGTTCGATTGGTGGGGGACATTTCTCCCCTCGCCGCTGATTGGCTCACAGCAGGGCGACGCATTCGATTGGCTGTGTTCGCTGACGTAACTTCATTGATGCGATGTTGTTTTATTTTCTTTTATTTATTGTACAATTTATATTAATTTCCTTTTATGAAGTATACATTATAAGAGCAAATTATTTATATATATTATATAATTTGTATTATTATTTATTTATTTTAATTTTTATATATATATAATAATGTTAATGTACCTGAAACCTGTCCTGCCACATTCTGTCACATTTTGTTATATTATCCTTTTTCATTCTGATGCCTTAATGTTCTGAACCTCCCAACACAGCTGACTAAGACTGGTTTTAATTCAACCAAACTTATATTATTATTGCACATGTACGGTTTAGTGTTTTTAGTCAAGCTGCTTAAAATATTTTGCACACTATTGTACTTGCACATATTATATTTTGTAATATTCTTATCTGTGATAAGATTGTATTTGTACACTGTGTAGTCTTTATTGCACTATATTCCCCAATGCTGCTGTGTGCAACTTAAACTTCTCCTACAGGGGATTAATAACGGTATATCTAATATCTTATCTTACTTATATTTGCATAAAGATAATGTAATAATCCTGAGAGCGCTCATTCTGCACATTTAGTGCTTTTACATTTGTTACATTCAGTTGCCAATAGTTCTGTGCTTTTACTTTGGTAACATTTTAAAATCAAGATTTCTATTTTTAAACTACTTTTACTTTGTTAAAATACTTCTTCCACCCCTGATAAATGAGAAAGATATAGAGATTAGTTTGTTTTGTGGTGTTTTTATTCTCTCTGACCACCAGAGTTCAACTCGAATGGATGAAAATCAGCTTCATCAATCTCACAATTGTTCACATTTTGTTCCTCAGCAGTGACTTTCTGTTTTTAGGTAAATGTACAGTAACAAAGGGTATAAAAAAGCAGCACTATATGATAGTAATCACACAATCATTGTAACAAACAGAGCTTCTGTTCACAGATTAAAAGAACAAACTGATCAGTGAAATCACACTTTAATTTATTTGGAAACAGTAACATGTTGGAACAAACACAGGCGTCATTCATCTGTACAACCAGAAGGTTTATTGTTATTATTATTGTTTATTATTATTAGGTGGGAAGTGGGTGAGTCATGGCGGCTCTTCACTCCTCGGCCTCTCTCCACTCCTGGGGCATCACCTTCCCAACAGGTGACATATTCCAGGTGATGCCGGTCTGAGTCAGCACCTGCACACAGACAGGAGTTCGTTTTCACTTTTTATCGTCACACAATTAAACAGTCGACTCCAATTTCACACCTAACAGGGTTCCCAGAGGACGGCGCTCATTGTTTAAGGTACACTGTTCTGTTCTCACCACAGCTGATTTTAAAGCTCTCGCAACTGACTGCAGGTTTCCTCTAACTGGGATTTAGTTCCAAGATAGTTCATCATTTTAATACATTTCCAGGTTTTATAGGACATGTGGGAATCCTGCCAAAGCTAAACCTGAATAATCTAACAACTGAAAGACAGAAAATAGACAAATAATAAAACTGTCTATGGTCAAAGTCAGACCTTTTTTAACTCTGAAAGCCCAATTAGAAGTTGTTATTTTTTTAAATTTGCAGTTTAAAATAGCATGTTACTTAAGATTTACAGTCTCTCTCTATTAGACTTCAGTTTTCTGTATTGTGACAGGAGAGTCTGGGAGGTATCAGTATGTCCCGTTCACTTCTCCTGACGTCAAAATGTGGCACTTATAACCTGAAGCTCCCCTGTGAGCCGCTGTGTGTCCGTTCAGGTCGTATTTATAAATAAACGCTTACGTATGCCCACACAGCCGTGCAGAAGACGGTGCCTCCGATCATCAGGCCGTTGCCGTACTTGGCGTGGAAGTCTGGGGCGGTGGATCCATGCCTCACCTGCCTCGCCTGCCTCACGGCCTGACCTGGACCACAACAAAACACAGTACTTGTGGTTATGACGGGGCATTTTTTACAAACTTATGTTCTCTATAACTCACCGTTCGAACGGCTTTTAAAGAGCAAAATTCAACCATGTTTCAGGCACTTTCACAGCATTTAAATGTATAAAACTTTATCATCACATCCAAGTTCCTTTCACTGGTCACTTTGTTTATTTTACCAGTGTTTCATATCGACTTTGTATGTTTTGATCATGATTATGCAACGAGTGCAGCAGAGGACATTATCTAGCTATGAAGGACCAGTGACAGGACACAATAATTAATAAAAGATTATTCTCACTGTGTCAATGAAAACACCAAATTATGTTGAAAATAAAGAATTATTCTAAGCTTCCTAACTGGAAATATAACAATTAAAGGAATCAATGATTTCCCAAACGTTCAAGACTTTGTATAAACCCTGATAACTTATAGAGCTTAAAAAAACAATGAAACTGAAAATAATGTCAAATGTAAAATCAGCAGGACTCATAAAGCTGAATATTCTGATTAAAACGGACTCAGCTAACATTGGTTGATCTCAGACAGTAATTCACACTGTGGACACATGGTGGCCTCGTATGATCCCGTTCACACTGAGCCACCTCCTGTAAATACAACAAAGACAGGGCTGCGTTCAAACATATGATCTATAAAACCACTGAGGCTGCACAATTAACCTCAATATAGCCAGCTTCATAACCAATAACCAATAACCAATCACTGACGCTTTGCTGAAAGGTTAAAGGTGTATATGTTAGATTTTATTCAGGGAAAATGACCTGTGTGATGGTAAATATGCTCATTCCCTCATTAATAGTGAATGATGTTGCAATATCAGTCAGAATAATGAGAATAATGATGTTTGTACCGCAGTGTGCAGAAATACTCTGCATTAAAATAGTTTTAGGTACTTTGAGAAGAGCTGCTGCCAAAAGTTGCTGAAAGAAAATGGGGAAACATTTCCAATTAAATTACAGTTAAATGCTCCATTATTGGTGATATTAGCCCATATCTGAAATTATTATTGATTACACTAAAAACAATAATAAATGGAAGAAATGGTTCCTGCAACAGCCGGATAATGAGACTGTCCTTATTTGCCCTTCCTTTATCACACAGTCCGATTTCATGTGCATCATCAGGACTACTAAACGAATCTTCACATTTTAAAACACTAAAGTATATTTCTATAACTACAGGAAATAAACATAAATGATTAAATAAATATAAATATAATTCTGATTATCCTGTTTATAAAGGTCTGTGTGTCAGACAATGACACCTTAATAAAATCTGTTTAAAAGCCTACATCGAGATTTAACACTAAAAAACAAACTACTTTAAGTTATTAAAGATAAAAAGATAAAAAGATAAAAAGATAATTTAATCACATAAACATTTGGAGAGGCTGCTGTTAGCATTAGCTCGCTGTTAGCACGCTGACCGCGGTCACAGAGCGACGGCGGGCGGCTCGTGTTCGAGCCCGGCTGCTATTGACCCGTCCTCCGCTATAAATGTATAAAGACAACACATACTTCTGTTAACGTCCCGGGTTCTTACCGGAGATGTTCACGGCGGCTTTAGCGAACCGGTACATGTCGACGAGCTGCGTTCAGTTACCCTTGAACAACGGAAGTGAAATATGGCTGCCGCACGAACACACGCCGGAAGTTACGACTGCTAAATGGGAGCATGCGCAGACCCGATCTAAACGCCGAAAGTGTATTAAACGGGAGTGAAATATACATTTTCAGAGATTAAAACACACTCATAAAGCAATGTATGCTTATTTCTGCCATAAATACATCAACCTATAGACACTTTATACGTTTACGGCCGCGGTTTAATAGATAAAACTGTAACTGGCTCCTGTTTAGAGCACCGTGTCAGGATGGCCGAGTGGTCTAAGGCGCCAGACTCAAGGATTATCTCCTTCCGCAGATACGGGACTTCTGGTCTCCGAATGGAGGCGTGGGTTCGAATCCCACTTCTGACACATACCTTTTGTTGTGTTTCATGATTATAAAAAAACAACAAAACAAAACATAGTAGTGTTTGGATAATCAATATATGCTCTCTACAACAACTTTTAGAGAGATATAAAGAAATCTCCTGCAATGTAACGGTATAAGAACATATGATTGTTAGGTTTGTTTCTTCTTTTATTCTTATGTTCATTTAATTGTTATTCGTTGTTGTTGTTTAAGTTTATGATCATATTTTCTCATTGTTTGTTTGTTCTGTATGTTTAGGACCCCAGGAAGACAACTAATGGAGATCCTTCATAAACAATAAACATCCAAATACTGACACACAAAATATTCCTACTACTACTAATATACTACTATTACAGACTTTAGAAATTAATATTCACTGCTTTACTATTGTGTGAGTTAAAATATCTTCATTTTCCAAGCAAATAATGACATTTGTGAGTTTACAATTAAATCAGCTTATATTTCTGCTCTTGCCTCATGAATATTTCTCTTAGCTTTAATTATGCCACATTTTATTTAAAAAAAAAAGACTAAAACTTCTAATTAATCAACTAATGCAATTTACAATTAATATTAAAGATAATACACAAAGACAACAAAATCAGTATTTAATGATACTGAGAGGAGGAAAATATCAGTATAGTAGTAACTATAATCTGTAAAACCAACATGGTGGTAAGAACATTAAGAGACATTAAATCATTAATATGGTTCACAGGAGATATTTAAATACACTGTATGTAATTTGAGAATAAACTATATGTTAAATATACTGTGAGTAAGTCCAATCAATGTGTGTTCATTCAGTAAGTCGTGTTGTTATTTCATTTAAGAGCTTTAAAATAAAAGCAGAGGAATAAAGAGTGAGTCTTCATTTTGGTCATTTTCTTTATTAAATCAAAATATCACTTTCAGGATTATAACAGTATTATGACATTTAGTTTATGTATGTACATGCATACTGGAAAAAGTTCCCTCTTTGAATCTGAAAAGCGTCCGATCTCTGCAGAGAAACATCGTTAACGGACGATCGAGTCCTTCCATAAAACTTCAGTGTTGAAAATTAACAATATTCTCTAAAATAAACGTTTGATTCTTTGATCCATTTGAGGATTTAGTGTCAAAGACAATGTGAACCAACCATGAGCTGAATGAGAGTTACTTTATGTTTATGGTTTTCTGTGATGTTGAGAAGTGATGAAGCCTTTTGTGTTACAGTACAGATAATGTACTAAAATATACCAAAATCTGTATTTGTAAATACCAGTACAGCAACTTTTATAAAGAAAACTCTCTTTCTGTTAATCATTCTCCTTCATCAGAAACATTTTTCTTAAAAATATTTCAACTTCTGATCAATTTCAGGCTTTAATGTTGTGTTAGCCCCGCCCACTCCATGTTTAAGCCCCGCCCACTCCACGTACAAATACAGATAATGGCGTACTCGCTCATCCCTACTAGAAACGCTACTGCGTGTGAATGAAGGTTTCATATTTTAGTTGTTTTTGGGGGAATAAAACCCGTTGCACATTACTTATATAGTCTGACCTACAGTCCAAAATATAAAGGAAGTCAAATTATATAGTTTATAAAGCAAAGAAAAGCTTAAAATCTTCATATTTGAGAGACAGCAACCAGAGACTGTCCGCTGAGATCGAAGACCTGGACCTGGAATAGTGTGAACGCCGCCAAAGTCTCAGGATTGTTTAAAGAGAAACGTCTCGACAGAAATCAACACTAAAAAGTTTGAGACAGCAGAAACAACACGATGTGAAACAAACATCTGTACGACGTTCTAACCGGTAACGCGGTTTATCAGGAGAAAGTGCTTCCATCACATCTGTTTACGAAACAATCTTTACATCGGCTCAACGGGGCTCGGTCCACTCGGCCCGGGTCTTCCTCTCGTAGCGGCGTCCATCCTGACGCTGGGTCACGGTAACTTTGCACTCTGGTTGTAAAGATTCAGAGCGGAGCTGAGATAAATCTAATGTACGGAAACGTTCAGTGTTAAATTAAAGGTTTGTAAGAGGTGTTCTGTTAGTGACATCACAAACAGCAACCTGGTTAATATTTCATATAATAATAATAATAATAATAATAATAATAATAATAATGTAATAATGTGAACTATATGACCTGGAAATAATTGAGGTGCTGCAGTTGGACCTTGTTGGAATTTTACCGGCTAAGCTAAACTAGCTTTTGTTTGTAAAACTGTTGTTATCTTGTTTAATTTGCGTTTGTGTGTCCTTAATCATCGACAGTGTTTATAACAGACAGAGCTTCTGAGTCTGTGAAGTGTCTTAAACCGGTATTTTATGTAACGGCCAGCAGGGGGCGGCTCCATTGGTTGCAATAACACACAGATACCATTCAGTCTTATGGGGAAACGAGTCGACTTCTCAGTTGATGTATGAGCTCAGTAAACAGTTTCCTGATGAGTTTCTGGTCTCAGTCTCTAGTTTCAGTCTTCTTCCATACAGCATGATGTTCATTTAGTAACTGATGGTCCCATTTAGAGTAAAACAGACCATAAAGCCGCCATTGTTTCCAAACCAAGAGCAGCTCAACTCGAAGTATGTGACAAAACCTAAACCTCTGTAATGGAGGTGGTGAGTGCAAAGTGAGCAAGACCCATAATCAGACTGAAGACCTTTTTCACAGCAGCCATTTTAACATGAAACAGAAGAGACCTTTAAGAGGTATCACTGGTTTACCCTACTAGTTCATGTGAAAATGGCTGCTGTGAAACTAGAAGAATAAGACCCAGGTTAGGAACTGTGTCCTCGGGCGTCGAACCCTCGATGAAACTACTTCCTGAGATCGTTTCTTTCAATGCGAGCGGAGCCGAAAGGAATGTGTCCAACCTGCAAACACACCAGCAGCGACATAAACAACAGAGCTGTGGATGAACCGATGTGAACGAGCAGATTCATCCACAGCTGGTCCGATGCATTTAAACATCAACTGATCTAAACTCTACCAGCGCTACTTCGGGATGCGTACATTTAACTGTTAATGCCTTCAAATGAGATAAATGGGATTCAGTCGGAATATAAAATCCAGGATTGTGACGGTGCAAAAATACTAGAATGCATACGGGAGCGTTTTCTCCGAGCGGCCCTCAAAGGCATCACAAACAGACATTAAGGCATCCATCAGGTTTCCTTCCGGCTTTCATTGTCTAGTCCGTCTTTTTGTCTTTTCCCTCCTCGTCGTCTGTGTACTCTGTGGGCTCCTCTCCGGGCTTCAGCAGCTTGCCGATGTAGTCGTACTTAACTGTGGAAGAGAAACAAAGTTATTTACAGCCTCGGTAACGTCAGGGACAAAGCTGGAACGCTTCGTCCAGAGGAAACTCTTCTCAAGGTTTAAAAGCTTCTGGTGGTAATGAAAAACCTAAAGTCTCAGCAGTCGATGAACTTTTAATTAGTCGCAGAAAAACTGCGTCATTTCTGCTTTTTTCTGTCTAACAAGCGGCTGTTGTAGCGTGAACATCTGGTCACATCTGCACTCACAGGTGAACTGGGTCTCCCACTCAGAGAGGCTCTCCTGCTGCATGGCGTTCAGGTCGGAGAGGTCGTCGGGTTCGTCCTTCAGCGCCTCTTTCTCCAGGCAGAAGGTAGCGAGACCTCTGGACGCGTCTCTGCCCGCAAACACTCCGTACGGCCCGTCTGTAGAGACACACAGTGAGCTGGACGTTCAACAACAACGGCAACACTATTACACCAAACTACCGGGAATGTCTCGGTGCTCGTCTGATGTTCAGGTTCAATCAGAGTTGGGGAAGAAAGTAATACATGTTAAGTGCATTAATCTGAATGCCCAGGATCGTTTAAAGCCCATTTAATAGATAATAACATTTTACACACATTTTTTTTTACCTTTTAGCAGATAAATCACAATAAAAAGACGGAAATGTTTATAAGTTTAAACATTTTTATGAACTAATGGTTTTCATTGTGCCAGGTTTTTCTACTTCCAGATCATACAGCATTAGCGTGGTGATATTCTATCATTTTCACAAGAAAAGATGAAAACCAACAATGAACTCATCCTACTGTAAAGTCTTATCTGTTGAGCCGAAGTCAGATATATTACAGTATCTTATTCCTTTGTCCCACAGAGCGCCATTGTTGTCCAAAGATGAATAAAAACACTGCTGCAGTTATTAATCGCCACTATAACTCCCACATACAGCGTCCCGCTCACTAAAGGAACCTAATGTGTATTAATCCACAGCTGAAAATAGTCCCGAACCATTGACTCTTTGCTTAAAAACTACAGTGAGCAGCTGTTACTGAGCCCAGTGTGCTTCACTGAATGAGTTTCAAACAACAGGTTTGTTTTCGTTCTGCAGCTTTCAAACACACAAAAAACATTCTCTATAAAATCTACAAAGGGAGGGAGAGGATCAAACAAACTATTTCAATATTTACAAGCACAAACAAACTATTTGCATTCGGGCTAAGCTACAGGAACAAGCTAATCCAGAAAGAGACGCTCGAACGCCTGCTGGCGGCCGGCGCACATCCCAAGAGGAGAGGAAGAGACCCCGGAAGAAGAGCTGTGTACGGCGATTAATTGGGAATTAATTACAATATAATATACTGGAATATATTTCTGCTGCTAACGTTAGCTCAGCTTGTTCCTCTGATTACTTAAGATCTAAAGCGTGGATGGTAAAAATGTGGCTTACTCTTTCTTTATTCACATATTTCTTGATTTTAACTTGTTTTTGTGCATTGTTAGACTGTAGTTTAGGTAAGATATATACAGTTGCTTGTGTTAAGACCGTTTTCTCATTATATTGATACTTTTGACTTTCTATCCCCAAATTTGGACATATTTAAATTTTAACTTAACATGAAAATTTTTTTTATTATCAGGACTTATTAGTATTAAGTTATCAGCTTTTTTCTAAAATTATGCAAATTATTTTATCTCATAATTTCAACTTTTTTTTATCTCAATTTTAACTCAACATGAACATTTTTTACTTTCAAGGTTGTGGAAATGATTTTATCTCATAATTTTGACTTTCTATCTTCATTCTTTCATCAGATATTTCTTGACTCAAACATTGTTTTGGCCATTTTTAGACTGTAGTTTAGTTAAAGTTCTCATACAGAAGCTTGTGTCAGGATAACATTTAACATTCAAGACATTTGACTTCTTCTTTTTATATCTGCACCAAAACTTTTAAACAATTCGAGCTCTGAATGTTACGAGTTTAAAAAAGTGTCCTTGAGAAAGACACCCACCTCGCCGTCCTGTGGGTGTATTTTAAATCCCTTTAATGAAAGGAGCAGGAGTTTTGGCCGTAGGGTTGGGTGTGCAGGGTGTGCAGGGTTTGCGTGTGAGCTATTATTTATGCTGGCCAGAGGTTACACGCCACAGAGGTTACCATCGGAGATAAGATAAAAACAGAGAGGTCTGACTCTGCGTCTGTTTCCAGAAATGTGACAATGAGGAATGACGGAGCAGATTCTTCCTTCAGAGAACTGGAGACGATAATCGCTTCAAAAGCTGCAAACAACAACAGATATACGAGTTTCTATTAAATCAACTTTTGGTGTAAGATCACCGGAAAATACCAACTGTTATGTTTCTGTTAACTCAGAACGAGCTGTTTTTATCTACAGAGAGAGACTCTTCTAGGGAGTCCGCCATGTTGAAACCACCATTATCTCAAATTAAAGTTTTTTTTTTTAATTCTACATAATAAATATAGTTCAGTAACTTTATTTCAGTCAACTTTCTTCCAAGTTCTGCTAGTTGTTCACTGAGTCCACTTATATCTGAATAAAACGTTGGAATCACTCTTATTTATTCTTTAAGTCATTGGTGAGTTTCTTGTTTATTTCTAACTGATTAATTAATGATTCACTGAAAACTGCAAATGCAAATCGGTTTCTGACAATTACAGACACACAAACATAATTATAATAATTATAATTTAACCATAAACTAACTACAGTCAGGGACATCAAATGTTTAAAATAAAATAATAAAATCTACAAGAGAGGGAGATGATCAAACAAACTATTTAAATATTTACAAGCTCAAACAAACTATTTACATATATATATTTACATATATATTTAAACACTAATCCAGAGAGAGAAGGTCAAACGTTCCCTGAACGCCACACCTACTAACTGCCTGAGAACATCCCAAGAGGAGAGGCAGAGACATCGGTGCTGTTAGGGAAAGAGCTATGGACTGCGATTACTCAGCATGTATGGGAATTAATTACAATATAATATATTCTAATATATTTCTCACATTTTGTCTGATGGTCCCTGCTAAGTTTGTTGCTAGTTGCTTTTTAAAATAAAGTCACTGAGAGTCGGAAAAGTTGCTAAATCTAGCGAGGAAGTGGCCAAAGATAGTCAGAAGTTATCATTTTAGCATCACAATTAAACTATTATGTTGATGTGATATCTGTTGGCGTCTGTACCAAATAAAATATGTTTAATCAGGTCTGGAGATAAGATTTGTGGGCCAGGGTACATTATAATGCTGTTTTTTCTCACGTATTTGACCTTTAACAAAAAATTTATATATTGTGATCGCGAATTTTTATTCTTAATAAAGCTTTCTTAAAAACTTTCGAAACATGGCGGCGGCTAAGTTATTTTATTTCCTACGGGGTAACTCAACTTCTTCCACAGACGATCTCTGATGTTGTGAAACGGGATCTCGGCTAGCGAACTGGAGGGGGCGTGGCGTTAGCCTACAGTTACAAATGTAACACTTTATAAAAAAAATAAACGTTAAATAACGACTTTTAACCGGTACTAATGTCGGTGAGCTGCCACCGCGTCACAGAAATTCAAACTGAACCAACGGTTTCTCGCGAGCGGCCGTTGGTGACGTTACGTTCGAAACGCGAGCGCGAGGACAGACTATAACGTGCGCAGCCTCGGGTGACGTTACCTGGCCCGTAGAACTTCTTCCCTCTGGTCACGTCGAACACTTTCCCGTTGACAGCCATGAGGATCCGCGGGTTCTCCAGTCCGTCGTAGGGCTTCAACTCTGCGAGGGTGAAGTCTCTCTTCTTCAGCTTCGGCAGCGGCTTCTCCATCTCGCCGAGCTCCGGCGGTTTGTCTCCGCGGAAGATTTTGTAGAGGAGGAACAGACAGAGGCTGAGCAGGGTGAGGTTCAGCGGGGAGGTGAAGATCTCCTGAAAAATTCCTCCAGAAGTTAACTCGCTTTCCTCCGCTTCAGCCATGTTGGTTCTCTCTGTGTCCGCTGCTGTGTGTGTGTGTGTGTGGAGGAGAGTGTATGTGTGTGTGTTGGGTGGGACTGGTTGAGCTCATGAACTCTCAACCAATCAGAGCTGCAGCCTTAGAGGCGTCACTCAACGGTTCTGACCAATCGGCTTCTCGTGGAAGTCCTTTACCAAAATAAGATGAAAACTATAACATTTTGAAATTAAAAGTAATTATTATGCTAATTATGTTATCTCATTATTTCGATAATTTCTTTTTGTTTCATATTTTTTGACTTTTTTGTTAACACGATTATACCTTAACAAAATAAAGAAAATAGAATAGCTGAGGAGTGTTTTCTAATAATTTAAAAAACAACAATACGGGCTGTGTTTTAATATATTTACATTTGTGGATGAAAAAACAAAAACCTATAATCCTATAAATAAAGTATTCAACAGTAAGTATGCCACAAAAGTAGCTAACTTATCTATTTATTTTAAAATATATTTATTCAACCAAAACAATTTTTTAAAATGTATTTATTATAAATAAATATATATTAATATAATATACTGTATATGAGATAAACAGATAAAACATAAGATTGCAAAATAAAAATGTACAAATGAATTCATTTGAAATTATTTTTTATTGATCAAATTTAAATTGTACAAATATGATCCACCAATATTAAAAACAATAAACAAATGCACATATCAAAAAAGAGAAAATAAAAGAACAATGCATTTGAAATAAAAAATAAAAATGAAAGACAAGGTAAACAAAATAAAATAAAAAATCACATTGTACGAGGGAACTGTAAACTTACAGTTATAGTATATAACTCATAAACTGCAGCATACATATACTTCTATCACTATATTGTCATATATTGTATTATAATATATATATACCTATATACATTTTCTATTTTCTATATATATTGTGTTAGATATTATATCTCCGCTACAGAGCTACTGTATTATTTGTTTATATATGTATAACTGTACATAGTAGTTTGTTTTGTTGACCTGTTGTCCTGTTTATTTATATTTATTCTGTGTTTGTACATTGAGTCAGATTCCTGGAATGTGTGCAAATAGCTGATCAATAACAGTTAAAATGATTATTGTTCTTATATTATCAGAATCAGAAACATTATTATTTATATTCTGTAATGTTTTGTGAGCAACTGAAAATTAATAAAAGTATTACTGATTTTAATTTGAAAGGATTGTAAACACTGCATCCACACTTCCGGTGATTGTCTCTTTAATTCGGGCACTTCCGCTCCCTGGAAACCGCCTCTGTGGCCTCTTTGGTTCCGACCCAAACAAACAAAGCTCAGATGGAGAGTTCTTCTTCTCGGAAACGTTTAACGGCTGCAGGCAGCGGGTTCCCGCCAGTGAACCGGACGAGGTCTCGTTAAACCGACTGAACCGATGTCCGGTAACGGAATCTAACGGAACCATCGCGTCACTGCGCAACAGCGGCGGCAGCAGCGCGAAGCTAAGCTAACGTTAGCTCTCGGTATCCAGCGGGTTGTCCGCCGCCGTCTTCTCTTCCAGCCCCGGTAGGAACGGACCACTGCCCCGGTAGGAACGGACCACTGCCCCGGTAGGAACGGACGACCGCCCCGGTTCGGTTCGGCTCGGTTCGGTCGGTGGTTCCGGTTCTGAGAGACTCGTTGAGTGACGCTAGCGGCTGTTAGCTCGGTGAGCTAACGTTGTGATGTTCATGTTTGTGATCAGATTAAAATCTTTAATCTGATTTTATTAAAAGTCTCTTTTGTTTTTCTGAAGGTTTTTGAGATAAAGGTTATTATTGTAATTAATTATTATAGTTTCTGTATTTTTTAAATAGATTTTATTTTTATTTCGTTTTAATTTCTGTTAGTTTCCAGAACTTTAATCTTTTTATCTTTTTACTGCTTCAAATGTTTAGTTTTTATTTCTTAATGTTTACTTTTAGTTTTTATTTCTTAATGTTTACTTTTAGTTTTTATTTCTTAATGTTTAGTTTCAGTTTTTATTTCTTAATGTTTACTTTTAGTTTTAGTTTTAGTTTTTGTTACATAACGTTATTTATGCTGAGTTTTACTTTCAGTTTTTATTTATTAATGTTTAGTTGTAGTTTATTAATGTTTAGTTGTAGTTTATTAATGTTTAGTTGTAGTTTATTAATGTTTAGTTGTAGTTTATTAATGTTTAGTTTTAGTTTATTAATGTTTAGTTTTAGTTTATTAATGTTTAGTTGTAGTTTATTAATGTTTAGTTGTAGTTTATTAATGTTTAGTTGTAGTTTATTAATGTTTAGTTTTAGTTTATTAATGTTTAGTTGTAGTTTATTAATGTTTAGTTGTAGTTCTTTATGTATGCTGAGTTTGAGTTTCAGTGAACGTTAATAATATAATAATATAATAATAACCTTGCTGCAGGGACAACAGACATGTTGAACTTTAAGATGATTTAGTGAATTAAGAATAAATAAATAACATTTTATTGTAACATCAGGTAAATGATAATTATCAAACGCAGCTTATATAATATTTACTAATCCTTTCATATCTTTATAAAGTGAATCATTTTGGATATTTAATCCTAATTTACAGTCTGGAGGGAAATCACAGTTTCTGTTAGGAACCGTTGACCTCTGACCTCTGAGATCACTCGTCCACAGACGATAAGAGGAAGTTAAAAGATTTGTAAGAAATCCCAGAAAAAGTTCAGATTTTGGTAATAATGACTTTACAGTATCTATGACTCCTCATTCATTGTGTGTGTCCTGTTATTTCAGCCCCCACCCCCCCCCCCCCCCACCCCGCCCTCCCGGTCTCGTGCTCGGCTGTTCCCGACCCGTCTACTATGAGCGCAATGCGTGTGGATGCCAAAGTGGTGATGCTGGGAAAGGAGAGCGTGGGGAAGACCAGCCTGGTGGAGAGATACGTCCATCATCGCTTCTTGGTCGGCCCGTACCAGAACGTGAGTGTCAGCTGCTCGGGTTCAGTCTCCGTATCGGCCCATTAGCTGAAGGCCTCGCCGCCCGCTGCCGGGATGAAAGGCAGTATCTGTATGTGGAGCCTCTGGGGGAGGTTGTGGTAATAAAGTCTGGGATCATCTTAAAGCCTGAAAGCAATGATAGGAACTGTGGAGGCAGCAATGTTACGGTGTGTTTCTATAAGCAGATTCTGCATTAGACAAGCATTTTTGTAAGACTGTCTCGTATTAATGTTGATCTTGTGATCTGTTCAATAACTGTGATAGGAAGTCATACGGTGGCTTTTTGCACAATTTATTTAATTTAAAATTGATTTGAATTCACTTTTTTCCTGATGAATTGATACAAAATGATCAGAACTCAAACACCAGGTCAGTCAGACACAAAGGTGTCAGGCTGTGGTTTCACGGGGGGGGGGTGCGTGGGTGCTGTAACCGCTCTTTGGCTGGGTGCAGACACTTCCTGTGACTTCCTGTTGTCACTGTGAGGCTGCAGGTTAAAGAGTATGGAGCTGAGTGTTTGGATGATCAGGTGGTTATATTCCCTGAGACTTTAATACTTTAAATAAAGGTTATATATATATACACCAGCATCTCAGACTAAAACATTGGGACAGAAATAAAATAAAAACTCACCAAAACTGTTTTCCAACAATCACCAACTCTGGTTTGGTGGAAATAAATCCTTAATTCACCGACGTAGATGATAAAAACAGCAGTTTCAGTCGGAGCAGACCGGCTATGGAAACAAACCACAGAGAGGCTGCGATACAACACAGGCAGAGGGAGAGAGACACCGTGTGACTGTGTGTCTTTTAATTATTGTTTTAAATCTCAATTTATTGTTAGTATGAGTAGAAGCCGGCTGTGTGTGTGAATTTAAATTAAAATGTGTTGCAATATCTGCTGAGTCATCGGCACTTTACAGCGGCAAGAACTGATCAAATTAAAAAATAAAAAGAACAGTAATGAGACTGAGAGTGCTCTGGGTCTGCAGGGACTCCTCCTCCTCCTCCTCCTCCTCCTCCTCCAGCGTCTGATGCTTTACTGCGTTTGTTTTCTCTCCCTTACAGACGATCGGCGCCGCTTTCGTTGCCAAACCGATCCAGGTTGGAGAGAAAGTGATTACCCTGGGAATATGGGTGAGTAAGAGGCCACCCAGCATGAATTTGAGACTGCGTGAGAGTCGGAGCTCTGGATCTGATAGGCAGTCACATCACATCAGCTGCCCTCATCTTCACGATGTTTATTTCTGGAGGAAACTTCTTCTCCAGGAAGTAAAAATATACACTAAAGATTAAAAGAGCCGACTGAGCTTTACACTCCTGTAAGACTGACAGACGTATATGGACAGTTTAAAAAAAAAAAAAAAAAAAAGGATCAAAATCGATGCATCAGAACATAAATATCATCTTTTTTATTCCTCACATGCTTCCTTATTAAAACCTGCTGCCTACATTACCCACAATGCAACTGGAACGCCTACAGTTGGGTGCTGTGTTATGAAGAAAATAAGCAGTTTAATGTACATTTGAGTAAATAAATAAACACTATAACCAAAATAAAATCAGGACTCAGAGGTTTTTGGTGATTCCTTTAACTTTCCAGCATTGAGGGGAAATTGGTTCAGAGCTGTGGAGTTTGTCCCACTGGGGATTACACAGAGTTTAAAGCCTGCACGGGGGGTTGTAGGAATGTCGACTGTGTGCGGCTGTAACATCAGATCTCTACGGAAGACTAATAGTGCCGAGAATACGGAAGATCTTTTGGCATTTTCAGAATAAAGTCGAACTAAATCCAGAGAAAGATTTGTTTAAGAATAAAATAAATGTGAGAATAAACTCTGGTCCATCAAATAAAGTCAGGAGAACGACTGACTCCTCTTTTTATGTGTTTATGTGCTTAAAGAGAAATAATCTCCTTGTTACTGAAGTAGTCTTTCAGTTCTTCCTTCACAGGTATTTTATAGAAGCAGCCATAACGATAGTAGTTTGATTCATTCTCAAAAGTATGACTTTTATTTTGAAATCAAAGTTTATTCCTTTTTATCTGCCACTAATACTCTACCAGCTCTGAGGCATTAAATGTCCAACAGGAAGCAGTTATTATTGTGTGTTTTACTGTGTGTATTTCCTCCGTCTCACTCAGGACACAGCTGGATCCGAGCGCTACGAAGCTATGAGCAGAATCTACTACAGAGGAGCGCGAGCCGCCATCGTCTGCTACGGTGAATCCCTGTTCCCGATCATCTTTATAGAGGAGTGACTCCATATCGGAGGCCTTTAGTAACAGCTGGACTTCATTTACAGTCATTACTGCAATATGCACACTTAATGCGCAAGCTCACAGAGGCATATTTAACTTTAAACGCAATATTTTCTGTAAATAATGCGATAAATTAAACAGAAATAATAGAATAAAAACATTGTGTCAGTACTTAGAAACAGATAAAATCTATAAATTATTGTATTTGAGCAGCTTCGTCTCATCAGGGACCTCATTATTGGCTTTATTGTTTAAAGCGAGGAGAGAGAGGAAGAGCAGTCGCAGTATGATGAAGCTGAGAGGAAGCGAAGGAAAGGTTCAACTGGAGGTATTGATCCTCCTCTGAGCGTCGAGTTCGTCCTGAGCGTTCGTTTGTTCCACAGAGAGGAAGCTGTGTCTCTCAAGAAATGGCCGGTGGCATTTCCCAGCGGATTATTCACACCGCTGTCATCTTTTATTCATCTTCTCCTTCTCCTCCTTTTACCTCCCGTCTTATTTGTTTGTTGTACTGTTAAACCTTTACAGCACAGATCAAATAGTAAACATTGTGTTTGTGTTCGTATATTTCGAGTATTAGGGCCAGACTACGAGGGGAAAAAACATTTTTTGGGGGGGATTACGAGGATAAAGTCGTAAATATATAATATAATATTAAACTTTGTGTTTCAGATCTGACCGACAGCAGCAGCTTCCAGCGAGCTCGGTTCTGGGTGAAGGAGCTGCAGAACTGCGAGGAAGTAAGAGAACCTTTCCTACTTTAAATGTAATAGAGATTCATCATAAAGGTTGAGGATTATATTGTGGTAATAACACACTAATGCAGTATGTTTTATCTGCTTTATTGTGGAATGTTTTTAATCCTGTTTCGGGCCATAATTATGTGTTTATATACGACTCCAGCACTGTAAGATCTACCTGTGTGGAACCAAGAACGACCTGGTTGAAGCCGATCGCAGCATTCGTCAAATCGACTACCATGACGCTCAGGACTTTGCTGAAGGTATTCCCAGTCTCACTGTAATGAATCTCTGTAAATACACTGTGATATTAACCAGAGGTCAGTTGTTACCAATGTACAGAACTCTGACTAACAGACACCGTACATGGTGGTTATTTCGGTATCTTCCTGTGTGCACTCGTAATGTTAAAAGGTTTAAAGAGTCATCTGGGTCGTCACTATAACTCCTTTTGTTGTTTTTTTGTCTGCATTGTCCCAGGAATAATGGCAGTAATGGTCTCTCTCTCTCTCTCTCTCTCTCTCTCTCTCTCTCTCTCTCTCTCTCTCTCTCTCTGCCGGCGTCTATCTGACCTTTAACCTCGCTGTTGTTCTTTGCTTTCAGAGATCGGTGCGCAGCATTTCGAGACCTCCAGTAAAACGGGAAATAACGTGGGTGAGTCACAGCTTCAGTCATCTGCAGGACGCATTTAACCTCAGCTGAGGAAGTGGATTCACCTCAGATCTCTGATACTGAACAATATGGACACAACAAACACACCAACGTTGGATAGTTATATAAATTTGCTGAACACAAGTTATATTGACAACTTCACTGATAAACAGAAAAGAGCTAAATAGAAAAATGAATCTGTCCAAACGAGTCTATTAAGTCTGTATGATTGTTAAAAATGATTCTAAATACATAATAAACTTAGAGAATTGTATAAAAAGCTACTTAAAATATCAGGAAAACTCATATAACTCATATACTCAAACATAATCTAGCTTTGTTATACATTGAATATAATGTGAAATACACATAAACTATGTCTCTTAAGGATTATTACTTATAACTCACAGTGGTAACAGCTGTCTGTTGCCTTCACTGTTGCATTCTGGGATGAAGGATGTCTTGGTGAAAGTGAACTTGTTTGAACTCGCTGCTGCGCTGTCGGCGTGTTGGCGTGTTGGCGTGTTGTAGATCAGCTATCAGGAATGTGAGCGGACTCGTTTTGTAATCAGGTCGAGATGAATGAGCCGATGCAAACTGACGCCCCCTCGCTCTTCCTCTGTTTTGACAGATGACTTGTTCCAGAAAGTCGCCGAGGATTACAACAGCACCGCCTTCCAGTATATGACCGGTGAGTGTTTCCTTCACGCACGCTCAGGTTTGTTTGAGTTCTTTATATAATCTTAAAATATAACTACAGATTGAGCTCACAGCGGAGACGACACACAAAGACCAAAACTATCTAATTATGTCAAAGTCAAGCTTTATTGAAGCATTAAAATCTACATCAGAAGTATGTATTGACTGTCGTTGGGTATAAACTCATTATAATGGACTAAGTTTCTCCTTTAACGTCATTAAAATAAAGCCTGATACGAATATTATAGCCAAATTTTGATGAGATTTTTGAGGTTTGATGGGGTTTTTTTCCACTTTCATAGTCTGGCCTGAAGTTTTACTTGCCATAAACAACATATAATCTTTGTTGTTGTTGTTTAATTAGTGCCAGTAAACTTTCTCGACATGCCAAATGACATGTTTTATCAGCCATGGTCTCAATCTTGCGGAGTTTCACCCACGTCCTCGAACGCCAACAAACTGAACTCCTGTTTCCCCCGCTGGAGCTTCAGCTCATAAATTCAGTGTTCTGCCTGCGAGTGCAATTCTCAACAGAGATGAGAAGGAAGCTCTTTTACTTTCATGATCATCTCTGGAAAAACGTGTTTCATTCTCTTTAATCATTTGCCAGAGTTGCTAGATTTTCCAGGCCGACGAGGCGTTTTATTCCCCCCCGACAACTCTTATTGTTGAGGTCTGTGATTGAGAAGACTTACAGGTTCTGACAGAAGAAAGGGAAAGGGCCAGAATAAATAGATTATAACTGGCAAAGCGGTGGACGTTAATGTTGTGTCACTTAAATATGAGACTCAACAGTGGTCCTCGAATTGATCCCTGGGGAACGCCACAAGTGAAGCAGAGCAGATGTGAAAGAAGCTTCCAGATGCAACGGAAAGATTTCTTACTGCACGATTTTAAATAAAGCTAGTTCAGAATTAGTCCCTTAAAGGCATATTTAGACAATTTAGGAGCTTATTTATATGAGGATGAGAACAACACTCATGTCTTCATTCTACATGTGAAGCTAGAGCTAGCAGCGGGTTAGCCTAGCTCAAGGCCTGGATACAAGGTCTGTCTCTGCCCAGCAGCACTTTAAAAGGTCACTAATTAACACGTTAAATCTCGTTTGTTTAATCTGTACAAAAACCAAAGTGTAAAAACAGGTAATGTGTTGATAAAGTGTCTGAGAAGCGGTCGTCTGCTTCCTGAACTGATCCCAAAGCTGCTAAGTTAAATATTTTGAACATAAAGTCTCTTCCTCTGTTTCAGCAGAGGAAACCGGCGTCGACTTGGGCCAGAAGAAAGACTCATATTTCTACTCCTGTTGCCATAACAACTGATGCTGAGCAACCGGGGAGGGAAACAAGACGCGGTCAACTTCCCTCTCCGACTGGGAGTAAAACCTGGAAATGCTGGATGGATAACTCTGATCCAAGGAAAAGAAATGAAGCAGGAATGTTTATACTTTGTTAGATAAGTTTGTTTCTTTTTGTGCCATAAAGAACTGAAGAGGATCCCCTGCTGTCGCTGGGCGGGTTTAATGCTTCTCGCCCAGCTGTGTGTCGTGTTTTATCCTCTCATCAGCTGTTCCTCTGAGCTGGAAGTGAACATATCCCCAAAAGCTGCAGTGTCAAACAATCTAAAGCAGGGTGACCTCTGCGTTGGCGAAGGAAAACGGCGACCCCGGCGGACTCGATCGAGGCTGATTGTTGTTGTAGCGGCTGCAGTGCTTCAGGAGGGTGAATGGGTTGTTTACAGCGTTTTTGTTTACCTCCAACTTTATTTAAACCTTGTGGTGGAAAGTCCTCATGAGAGGAGTGAATCCGACCAGGATGTAAAAACACTCCGGTGTCACTGAAACGAAAAGTCAGGAATGAAATGATACCAATGATCTTTATAAAGGCCTTAAACCCGCAGTACAAAGTGGCTTTATAGAGCAGTTCTCAACCTCAAATACCCCCTTATTGAACCTAATGCTAGTTCTGGTCCGGTGCTGGTTCTGGTCCGGTGCTGGTCTGCTAGCTCAATGTTAAATTCATAACATCTACGTGATAAATGGCTGATAAATACATCACTCTCTGCAGTGTTAGCTGTTGTTACCAAGGTTTATGCCATGATGCTACTAATTGTTGCCTCGATTGTAACATCGATGTGAGAAATTAGTTGCTCACTAAACAGCTAATAAACACACAGCTGGAACCAGTTCTGGCTCCGAACCAGCGGACCCATATTTGATGAGATGTGGTCTGATCAGATAGTTAATCTACAGTACAGAGAGTTATTATGGGATATCAGTGTGAAACTTAACAGAAACTTTTAGTCAATGAAATAATAGTTATATTAAATTCCTCGGTTGAGAACCACTCTTCTACAGTTTTGGCTCTTCATAGTTTACCACAACTTTTGCCAAGTGACGGCCATGGATGTATTAACAGAGCTGGATACGGCGCCTCCACTCCGCCCTGCTGCCCCCCAGTGGCCACTCGTGGCACTGCAACAAGTACAAGCATTTATTATTAATCCTTGTATAAAGAAGTTTTATATTTATTAAATTCTTCCCAGAGCCCCGAAAAGCTATTTTTATTTCCATGACGTCATGCTGATGTAATGAAGTGGGCGGGGCCAGCAGGAGAAACACTAATGAGCGCGTGCAGCCTGAAGTTCAGTATCCAGTAATGATGCATCCATAGTGACAGGACCTTTTGCTGCTGACGCTTCGATTCTGTCTGAAATACAATAAGCTCATTTTAAGGTGGTTGGTTAAGTTTTCACAACTTCAGCCGACTGAAGGAAAATCCTTCGGGTCACTTTTCAGCATTTAAATCTCTAAATTTTCTATTTTGTAATTTCAAATGCAAAAGTTCTCGTATGGAAATCTGACCGTCGGCTTCTCCTTCAGTCGTCTCTGCGGCGGTGAAACGTTTGTGTTTACCAGAGAAGATGAAAGTTCCCCTTCGCTGTGTTGAAAGTGCAGATTTCACCAACGCAGGAAGAAAAGAAACGAATGTTGTAATAAGGTACAAACTGTCATCTCCGTGTCCTCATCTATATTTAACCTCAAGACTCACTAATTTATTGCCTTTTTTTTTAAGTTGGCGGGAGGAAACGAACGGACACCAGTTTCCTCGTGTTGCTGCTTTGATGTGTTGATGTTTCACGTGTTGATATTCTGATGCACAATATTTTTTATTGAGGGCTGTTTGACCGACTGTACAAATATGTTAAATGTGTAAAATTAAAAGCTTGTTAAAAGAATGTTTCGAAGCTCTCACAGACCTTAAATTGCATTATGAAACTCAGTATAATGGCAATATGTATAAAATTGTTAAGCGTGTTTGTAAATCATCACAAATCTTTAAACGTTATTGCATCAACAGAAGTGAATTTCCAGCTTTGCACCTTTTTCTTTTTCCACTTGAAGATAATTTTGCTGGTTTCAGATGTCTCGTCTCGGTCGGTCGGCACACTGAAATCAATTTGTGCCTCCAGAAGTTCCCATAAACCAAATAAAATAACTTGAAGCCAGCAAAACTGTCAGTGAAACTCAGCGTCTGCTGTGGTTCAACATGGTTTATATCTCCGGTTTCTTAAACTAAAACATGAAATATACTACCGTAAAACTTCCAATAAAAGCAGGGTCCCTTATTGACGCAGGTCTCTTTTAAAAGCCTGCTGTGGCTACACGTTTTGACAAATAAACGCAGGTCTCCAATAGAGGCCTGGTCTGGATTTTATAGAAATTATCTCGATGTATAAAACCTCTTAAAACCAACCGGGTCGCCTGCTTGAGTGAGTTTTAGGTCGTCTCTCTTACACAAATATAAATGTTTAAACTTCTGTCAGTATGTACATAATGAACATCGTTAGATCAGTTATAGATTCTCCACAATTCAATCGAATCGTTCACTATATTTTACGAAAACGATCAACAACAAAGTTTAACGTTAATTCAATCTGACTTACCGGTAACACGGTAAACAAGAGAGAAGGAAAAACCTCTGAAGCATCATAATCATCATTTTAGTTGTCAAATTTGCTGAACAAAACTCAAGAGAAGCTGCAGTTAGTTTAGTTTTGTGCTAAAGGAATTAAAGGCCTGTCCCAAATAGACGCCTGTCCCCAATAAAGGCAGGGGGAGTTCAGTGATATAAACAAATAAACGCACGGGCTATTAGAAGTTTTACGGTAATTTAAAATAATATTATCAAAGTCCCACAAAAGCAAATAAAAACCTAAGTTGTTTCCTGTAATTTTTAGTTTCAGTATCAGCTTTCGTCTCCACTTCCTCCTGTAAAATATCTCGGATTGTCCCGTCTGCTAACATAAAGGCTTCATCAGCTGTACTGCAGTCGGCCACCAGGGGGCGATAGAGAGGGTTTACCTTTGTCCATCTTTATATATGTTGATGGTTGTAACGTAGTGTGCACATGTACATCCGGGATTAGTCAGGAGCTAAACTGGGATGGTAAAGACGGTGGGCGGAGGTCAGATGAAGGGTTCTAAAACGCTGCAGTCGTGACTCCAAACTGGAACTACTGGGAAGAGAAATGTGGACCAGCGGGACCGTTTACCACCAAACCAGCTCTGGTTCTTGAACTGGTTCAGGATTCAACAATAAATTATCTTATCGGTCATAATGGTGGCACTTTACTGGTATTTTCTCAGGCGTACGCGTCATGAAACGTCTGTTTTAATCGATCAACTTTATATTGAAAACTATTTATTAAATAACACCTGTTACTAACACCTAATTAATTATTATTATTATTAACCAAAACTGTTAAAAAACATTTACTACATAAAGAAATAAACAATTATTACATTATATTATTAGAGTGAACGTTTTTAAAAGTCTTTAAAACTCCTAAAAAGTTTATATTTAACATTAGTTCTATTAGTTTGTTTGTGAGCCGTCAGGAAGCTAAAAGTGTGATTGTTCCACACTGAAGGGGCCTTTTTCACAGCAGCCATTTTGACATGAACTAGTCGGGTAAACACGGGTGTTACTGATGATAATAATTAAGGTTCAGTTCCATTTAGTGTAGAACGGCAGCACCCTGACTCTGTTTGACCGAAATGGAACGGAGCCTTAATTAGTGGTAACAGCTGTGTTTACCCGACTGGTTCACGACAAAATGGCTGCCGTGAAAAAGGTCTATTTGGTGCTTCAGGTTGGATCTGTAACAAACTGCTGTTAGCTACAGTCGGGTTTCACCAATAACTTCAATTATTATTTTTCTTTATTGATTAATAATATTACTTTAAATTATTATTTACAGCTGCGAAGTTCTGATCAATAATGTGAGATAAATGTCAATAAATTATTATTATTAATTATTCCAGTCATTGTTTGAAAAAGAGGTTAAAATTTGCTGCATTTAAAACAATAAAACAATCCAGATAATTAAAATACGTAGAAATATAAAATATATTGGCAAAATTTAGTTTTAAAACCACCGATTTGAACCATTTTGAGACATTATTGCTGGATAAAGACTTTAAATGTCGGTTTTTATAACAAGTGGAGAAAGAAAAAGATTTCTATGTTCAAACGAATCCATCAATCCGTCCGTTAAAGTATTTATAAAGTAAATAAAAACAGGAGTTGGTTTGGGTGTGACGGACAGATGAGCATGTTTATAATGAAGGTGATTAAATAAAGATTATTATTATTATTATGATGCATCGCTCTGTATCTGTGACTATTAAGTGTTTACACTCATTTTCACAATCTGGATTATGTGTTGATTTATTTTATACTTTGAGTTATTTCCTGTGTGTTTATTATTGTTTGTGGTCCAACAGGTTTCTATTTGTTTATGTAGTATGAGACTGTTTCATAACCAGTTATATTATATACAACATTGTATTTTTTACTTCACTATAATTATTTATCAGCTTTAGTTTTTAGTCAGTTTATGAATTTATGCAGATTTTTAAAGTGGATATACATTACAAATATAACATTTTTAGACACTATATTCAGATATTTACACATTTTAATGTGATAATCCTCATAAAGATTTACATTATCTGACAAAGAGCTCTTAAAACTATTAATTAAACTCTTAAAAGTCCAAATTAATAACATTTCTCACTGAGGTCTAACAGAGTTCTCTCAGTGGACGCTCTGTATTGTCGCACTCTCTGTATATAGACGATAACACACAGTGGAGTTAATGTCGGGGGGTCAAAGGTCGACAGCACAGAGACAGACCGTTCCCCACGCTGCTCTTTGACCTTTAGATAACAGCCGAGGCCACAGTGTTAATGATTAAAGAGACGACATTATAAACATCAGGGGCTAAAAGAGGCTTCAGAAGGTAAAAATCCAACAAAAAGTTCATTAAAAATTATATTTATGGTATAAAATCTCACGTTAATAAAAAAATTACTAAATTATAATAAAAAAATGATAAAAAATTATGAAATCCTTTAATCTTCTCATGTTTTCTATATGTGCTAAACTAAATGTGTATTTACTGTACTGGACAGTAAAATGTGAACAAGTTATAACATTGTTTATTTTCATTAACTAGATCCAGTGAGGCTCATTAGCCTTCCTGATCTGTTTAAAAGCACTTGGGTGGTTAAATAATTACATTCGCTCACTAGATCTACAATGTTTAATTATGTGATTTTATTTAATTAAATGAATTTAAAGCCATAGATGAGTAAGGTTTTAAATATCTAATATGATTTAAAGATGCTATAATCAATAAAACATTCATGTACACCGATCAACCATAACATTATGATTTATGATAACATTATAAAAAGTCACAATTATGAGATAAAAGGTCAAAAAAAGGTAAAACATTATGAGATAAAATAAAAAATTATAATAAAAAGTTAAAATTATGAGATAAAAGAAAAAAAATCTGGATAAAATTAAGAGTTAAAAAGTTTAAATTATAAGATCATAATTCTGACGTTTTATCTCATATTATTGATCACAATCTCACAAACAGCATCGTGGCCTAAATTTTTAACTTACTGTTTTCTCTGTAACTTAATATATAATAAAATATCTGACCAGTAAATAAATGAATAAATAAAAAACGAGGCCGGCACAAAGCTTATTTCATAACTTCTTTTTCTTATATATTTATATAGCAGTTGTTTTAACAGGTGAACGGTTGAGATCTAACAGGTCATAATTACACTGGAATGAGACATTGCTTGTTGGGCAACTGTAAAAAGGCATTAGTAGGGACACTTCTCCAACCATTCCTTAAAAATATCTCCAAAGAAATACACTCTAAGGCATTGGCAGATCACACACAGACAATATTAAGCTTGAAGACAGAGCGAAACACGTGTGGCAAGAACACATAACTGCGAGTGCAAAGCATCATGGCCGTCGTTTCAAGCGTCTCGCGTCCAATCTGAAGACTTTAGTTTCCTCCTCCGGCGGACAGCGAGAGACGAGGAGGGAACGAGGAGCTCCCCTCGCCATCGTTTGTGCGTCACAGAACGGTTTATAAATAATGACTACAGAGCACAGCGTACACACTGGAGCAAACCTACAGACCGCCAGCAATCATCAGGGCGAGGCGTTCCCAGCGTTCGATGCCGTGGAGGAACAGTCCAACGCTGAATGTCCATTTCTAATCCTTTTTTTTTTTTGGCATTAAATTTAGATAAAGTGTCTTTTCGAATACTGGCTGCTGGCAGCTTCAGTCCAGAACTACGGGGCCACGCCAGGCGGCCGATCACATGATCAAACAGCATCTATCGATCGGAGGAAGTGGAGAAGATCCGGAGCGTCAACGGAAGCAACGGCGTCCACAACAAACCGAATTCATCCTACTGAACTCCTGAAAGACGTAAACAAAGTCCACCGACCCAAAAAGCAGAAATAAGACGCTTCCTGTTAGTCCCGCCCCTTCCGGAAGATAAGAGATGCTACGTGCTAAGCTAAGCTGTGTTGGAAAGACGACAACATTTTGAAGATGGTTAAAAGATAAAAGACATTTATATAGTCACATCTGAAGTTAGCTAATGTTAGAAAATGTTAACTGACTAACAACTGATTCATACTAGTTCACGTTTCGATAACATTTGCTATAATATGTAACTCGCTAGCTAACAAGGAATGTAGATAATCTTAAGATGTGACTTTATATCATAAATACCATCTTCAAAATGTGGTTGTCTTTTCAACGTAGATTAGCTTAGCATATAGCATATCCAAAGATAGGAAAGAGCAGAGAGGGGGCGGGGCTTAGGGAGGCTCCAGTTGAGGCTGGTTGGTTCATTCACAGATAAACTTTGTGTGACTGCCGAAGAGTTCGCCGTACCTCGGCAGGAAGCTACAGCGCCGTCCTCTCTCCAGCGTGAAACACACCGGCTCCGCGATGCTGCCGACACAACGACCGCCTCCAACTACTGACACACACGACACCTTAAATACTACAGAAAGAAAATAAAAACCAACGGAAACCAGCAGGTGAAATCAGTCAAAATCTGGAGAAAACAAGTGAAAGTCGGAGTGAAATATGCGTCTTTGTTTCCTCTCAGGTGAAGGTGCAGTCAGCGCCAGTGTGTGCAAAGTCACTGAACCGTGTCCGACAGCGTGGACCGAGGAAATCCAGGAAAAGGTTTAGTTTTTTTTTTAATAGCGATTATGAGGACAAAACTAAATGAATACTAAATAAAAGTATTTATGAGATTCTACAGTTTGTTTTTATTCTTTTACGGAGAATTTATTTACGTGTTGATTTAGTTTTGTCCTGAAAGTTCCTCCGTACATCCAGCTGCTCGTTGGATACAAACAGTGACAGACTGGGCTGCTTGTGTGATGCCTCCTCTCCGTAGTGACTCCTCCAGGTCACTGTGCGTCACTCCTCCTCCTCTTCCTCTTCCTCCTCCTCCTCCTCTTCATCATCGTCGTCCTCGTCCTCCTCTAAATAATCCTCCTCCACCTCCTCCATCACCTCCCCATCCTCTTCCTGAGGGTCTGATTTCTGCCTCCCGACCTCGCCCTCCTCCGCTGACTCCTCCTCCTCCACTTCCGCCAGCTCCTCATCCTCCTCCTCTTCCTCCTCCTCCTCCTCCTCCTCCTCCTCCTCCTCTTCATCCCTCTCCTCCTCGTACGACGAGATGGGCGAGTAGTGCGGGAGGTCAAACACGTGCGGGCTGCTGGGAGCGTCCGAGCTGCTGTTCGGTGGAGGCGAGGCGGCGGGCGCGGCGACGGGAATAGTGATGGGCACCGGGATGGAAAAAGCAGGAAGTGACTCGGCGCCGGCGCTGATCTCCTGGACCCTCCTGGTGCTCGGGGTCACGCCGGCGGCGGCGGCGTTAGAGGCGGCGGACGGGATGACGGCCATGCCCAGACCCGAGGGGAGGGACCTGGGTTCAGACGGGTACTCCCGGATCTCCCCCGGCTCCAGCGGTTCGGGACCACAGGGGTCGTGCTCGCTGCACAACAGCTTTCCGTCCCGCTTGGAGATGAAGAGCAGGCCGTCGCGGTGCTGGTTGCAGTAGGAACTGGGACACATCTCGCAGAAGGACGCCGCGTCTTTACCGCAAATATCGCACTGGTGCCACGGACATTCCCAACGACCTGCGGAGAACACGACAAAACAGAGGAAAACAAAAACAACTAAAGATTTGTTTGTTTTTATGTTTGAAAGGTTTTTCATTCTGTGTTGATTCTGGCGCCCCCTGTGGACAAAAGAGGTCCACCGGCTAATGTTTACATCCTGCACGAGCCACACGCTTCCTTCTGCGCAGTGATACGTAGAAAGAAAGTAGTTCCTACATAGGACACACAGGAAATTACACAGGTTTTACCAAAATAAAAGAAGTCTGTGCACCGACCTGCGGGCCTCTTGGTGAGGTTGAGGCAGTCGGCGTGGTAAACTTTGGGGCAGCCGGGTTTCTTACAGGAAACCATCTGTCCACCGTCTCCGCAGCTGAAGCACTCGTCCTCTCGCTCTTTGGTCACCACAACCTTGTTCTTCCTCTTGCCGTGGCCCCTCCTCTTCAGCTTGCGACCTTTGTCATCAGACGGAGGATTGTTCTGGTTGTTGGGAGAGGAGAGGGAAAATGTTACACCCCGGGTACCTCAGGTGGCGATACATAATCAGAGCAGCACGCCGCTCCGCTCACCTTCGGCCTGACGCCCAGGAAGCCGCTGCAGTTCGGCGCTCCGCATTTACAAACCGTCTTCCCGTTGCCCAAACACTCCAGGTTGTAGTTGAAGGTGAGCTCAGTGCCTGAACACACACACACACACACAGAAAGGGGTCTGCACATCGTTTTGAGCCTCAGGTGGTGTTAAGAGTCGATAGTAGGGATGGGGATCGTTAATATTTATTGATATCGATACCTTTATCGATACTCCTTATCGATCCGAGTCTTTATCGATACCACTATCGATACTTTTCTATTATTTGGTGGAAAGACGACGCGACAATATGTTTTTAATAGAACTGGTATTGCTTTTATTGCTTAACAAGTGAGCATAACAAAAACGTTTCTAGCCTTCAGTAAACATGGCTAATGTAATAGGCCACTTCGAAATGACATAAAACTAACAATAGAAAGAATATATCAGCAGCACCAAATGAAATAAATAATATGCCTAACCTAATAGTCGTTTTACTGAGCCAACCTGAACACATCATCACGCAGCACGTCTGAAACTTTATTTACTTTTCAAACTAACTAGCTTGTATGCTGCCGATTACAACACGGATTTCACAACTGCAAAAGTATTTTTAACTGACGGGACAAGCTACAAAGTCTGTGTGTGCGCTTACCGCTGGTACTTTGAGTGGATGATGAAGACGGGCCTGTCTGCGGTGCGGCGGCAGCAGCAGGAGGAGGAGGAGGAGACAGTCGAAGGTACTGCACTTGGCCTTTATTTGATGCACAATGCTGATGTGCTTGGCCATCGAGGTTGTGTTCCCCCCTTTACAAGAAATGATTTTGCAACATGAGTTGCATTTCGCTTCCTCTTTATCTTTGAGCTTGGATGAAGCCAAACTGTAGACCTTTTCGCCCGTTCAGCCATCCTCGCGAGCAAAGTTAACTGCCAGACTTCACTTGTTTTACTTTTAATACCTGTTTGCTTACAATTTCATTCAAAACCATTGGTGGACACGCTGCAGTGAGTGGATTGATTAGATTTAAATGCCGTGGACACACAATTACGTTACAGGACCTACGGGAGAAAAAAAAACGACGAGACTCGATAGTGGTATCGATAAGCCCAAACGTTATTGATTTTTGGGTTTTGAAAAAAGTGGAACCGGGTCCTTGATAGAACCGGGTTTCGATCCCCATTCCTAGTCGAGAGTGCATGCGGGTGGCGGCGGCGTACCTGCAGCGACGTCCACCAGAGCGAACAGCCCGACCCGAGTGTCGCCGCTCACCGTCCACTTCTGCGTCTCACAGTTGGGCTGACAGCAGTGGTTCATGAAGCGAGCCTCGTTCCCCTTCGGCCCGGCGTCGATGATCCGATCCTAAACACACACACACACACACACACACACACACACACACACACACATTGATCGTTAACAACGTTAATAAAGTTTGTATAAAGTTTTATTTCTCAGAGTGAGGCTGCGGCACCTTGTCCAGAGTCAACATGTAGAAGTTACAGATGTCGTTCTCCTGAGCGTGTCGGATCCTCGACCTGCACTCCTCCTCGTCGATCACCTCCCCGACGTACTCGCTCACAAACTGACCCTGAGAGCAAAACACTGATTACTGAACCCGATCCGCCTACCAGAACCAGAACCAGAACCAGAACCACTACCACCATCAGTATCAGTACCAGCACCAGTATCAGTTACCTTCTTGATGTCGTGGACACAGCGGAGTCCCCAGCCTCGAGACAGCGTCCTGAAGATTTCCACCTGACTGTACTGACGCTTACTGAACGCCTGGTTGAGGCAGCGATCGCCTGCCGGGCAAACCTACAGGTCCAGATATTGATCAGATATTGATCAGATATTGATCAGATACAGGAGGATGTATTAGATATGTTATATAAGCAGATAATAACGGGTCCGTTCCTTCATGTAGCTGCAGTATGAACCTGTGACGGAGGGATTCGGTACCTGTGGGTGACATTCGTACAGCAGCATCCGGTTGATGCACTCGGAGTCCATCCCACACGGACTCTCGTCTGTCGCCTTACAGTTGCAGCGCGGGATCTCCGACAGGTCGGCCGTGAAGATCTGAACCTTTCCTATTGGTCGATTCACCTTTATGTGTTTGTACGGAGGAGGTTTCCTGTCGTTCTTTCTGTCCTCTTGAAGCTGTCGAAGCTCTTTTTCCGCCTGAAGCTCACGAAACCGAACAGCCGCCTCCTCCAAAGCTGGAGAGGAAGATCAACAGTCACAAACCAACAAACAAACAAACAAACAAACAACATCGTGAAACACTTCGTTATAAAAGACACTGGACACCTTTCTTGTAGGTGGCATCGACACCTTTCCCCATCTTCTCTTTGCTGTTGGCGTCCACGTCCATATAAGGGAAGACCCGGGCCTGGTAGGTCCACAGGTAGTCGTTGGAGCCAAAGAAGTGAACGGGAAACTCCCCGACATCGTGCCTCATCCGCTGGATGTTCTCCGGGATGGTTTTGGGATGGCTGACCTCCGCTGGCCACCATCTTTATAAAGGAGGAGAGGAAGACTGAGTGAATGAGTGAATGAGAGCAGATTGTGTCTGATGGTGGAAATAAAGGTTTTACTTCCTTAAAACAGCCGTTTTTTGAATGGAGTTTGGTTTGACAGTGTGGGGCAGAGGGGATTTTAACCTCAATAACTCCCATAAACTGAGCTGATCGACCTTTTAATAATGAACCTTGTAAACAGCAGAAAGTAACACAGGAAGTGGAGATAAAACCCTCCTGTTTTCCTCTTCTGTGGTCTCGTAGTAAAAGATCGATTAATGAACACATTAGGTTTACAATGACGTCACATTGAACAGACGACCAAAACAGAAAAATGAAGAGTCTGAACATGTCAGGACACTCATCAATAACAGATTTTGGCTCCTAATAACTAAAAAGCAACACGGTATTCTTCTTTTATGGCATTAAATTGGCAAAAACCTCCTTTATGTTATATTTATGAAGTAATAACTGTGCAGAGTCCTTGCTGCTGTAGATTAAACACTGACCTGTACCGGCCAACCTTCACCCACAGGATGTCCTTGTAGCGAGGTTTCTTCCCGGCCTTGCAGTCGTTGCAGTACCAGCTGCCTTTTGGCATTTCCATGTTCAGACACTCCCGGTGGAAGGCAGCAGGACAGGACTCACAGCACAGCAGACTGCCCCCTGCAGGACAGGAGGAGCAACAGCAGAGTGTGTGTTTACACGCAGCATTTTAGCCTCTTTTAGCTCGTTGTTTTGGTTTTAGCTTAGCACGAATACTGGAAAACAGGGGGAAACAGCTCCGTGTCCAGCTCTGTCCAATGGCAACAAAAATCCACCTACCAGCTCACTAATTACCACAGTGTATCGTATTGAATTAAAGGTTATATGTATGAGATTAAAGCATTTATATAGCACCAAACAACTGCTGTTTTTATCATCTAATTCAGTGAATTAAGGATTTATTTCCACCAAACCAGAGTTGGTGATAGTTGAAAAGACTTTAAAAAGCCGGTTTGTGAGTTTTATTTAGTTTCAGTTCCGTTTGAAATGTGTTTTAAAATTTCCTATGTAAAATTACTGTTTTTGTAAATGGAGTCTGGTGGGCGGTAGTGTAAATTATTTTGGTCTGAGATGTTGGTGTATATAAGATCTTTAATCACTAAAACATAACTGACAAATCTCTGTTTTAAAGAGGGTTGTTAGCCAGCTGCTAATACTAGCTTTATATTTACCGTACAGACTACAAACAATCCTCTCGTCTAACGCTCAGCAAGAAAGCAAATAAAAATATTTAATGAGAATAATTCCCAAAATGTCTTCCTTTAGACTTCAAGATGGAGGTTTATTCGCTCAGCTGGACCCGACTTTAGGATAATAGTCAGTACAATTATTATTATATACAATTATAATATATTGTATGCAGTAGAATTGAGACCAAATATCTAATTATAATGTAAAAAATATCTTGTTTATATTTTATGAAATCTCATTATATCAACAAACTGAGCAAATATTTGTTACGAGACGTGCAACAATTAATCAATTACTGTTAAATAATTGGCCATATTGTAATATTTTGATATTCAATTAATCATTTTTTAAGAACAAATATCCAGATTCTCTGATTTTAGTTTCTCTAATGTAAATATTTTCAGTTTTCTTTAGTTCAGTGTTTCTCTAATGAGGGTAAACATTTAACTGTACGTTTGATAAACTACATTTTATATTTAAGATTCATATTTTAATTGAATCTAATTACCTTCGGTGCAGACGAAGCACCAGCTGACGTTGACGTGTTCGTGGTTCTTGACGCCGCGGCGGGGGGTGAAGTGGTTCGGACACACGATGCTGTTGTTGGAGAGGACGACGCAGCCCGCTGCCATGCAGAGGTCAGTGGCGTGATAGGCTACGGGGCAGCGAACGCACCGAACCAGACGACCTGCAGAACAAACACACAACAAACACACAGTCAGAGCCTGAAAACAAACGACAGCGACACACAGAAAACTACCTGAGCGTCACCTTTAGAGACGGACGGGCTGCTCGGGTTGGTGATGAAGCAGGTGAGACAGACGTGGATCGAGCAGCGGAAGCCTCGGTTCACCGGCGCGGTCGGGGCGAAGTTGGCGATGCACTCGCCGTGGTAGAACTTCCCACAGACGGGAATCATACAGCGCCGCACGTCCTCGCTGCGCTTCTTACAGACGAAGCACGTGTGGACGCCTGAGAGGAAAAAAAACTGAGATTCATTACGACAATATTACACAGCTTTCAGATTTAACACTAGCTAACCACGTTAAGTTAATGTGTAAATGTATTCTCGTTAGTGGAAGAGCTTTTGTTTACAAGTACGGATGGGAGGAGCTCTCTGATTGGTGGGTTTATTCGGGGCTATGTTTACTTATATATGGGACCAGTTTTGTAAGAATTGTACCTAAATAAAATAAAAGTTTGGGACTAAAACATCATAAATTAAATTAAATTTAAATATGTCTTTAAGAGTTTCTTAAAATGTAAACTTTAAATAAGTTACACAGATTTTGCTTTAACATTCATCTTTAAATTACATTTTTGGACCTTTAACACCTATAAAACACAGTCGTACCCGATTTGCACTCCGGACAGACAAACTTCCCTTTCGGGGCCTCGGCCAGGGAGATGCAGGGCAGGTGGAAAGCTCCACAGCACTGACCCTCACAGAGCAGCAGCTCACCTGTCTTCTCACACACCTGGAACAACACACACACACACACACACACACACACAGCTTATAAAGACACAATGAGAGAGAGAGGATCTACTGACGTATGTTAGAGGAACCACAGACTCGATTTCACCAAAAACCCTCAGAGGAGTCGGAACTGGAGGAGCTAAAAGGGGGAAGCTCACCTGACAGATGTTCTCCTTCATGGAGGCGGGGCCTCCTCGATCACCTATGATCTTCCTGGAGGGTAAAAGCGGGTCGTCACACAGCGACAGGTCGTCCTTTCCGGAAGAGAAACTGTGATCCAAACTGGACGGATCGCCCTGAAAAACACAGAAATAAATCAGACGTACGTAGTTTAACCTGCACGAGCAGCTAGCATTACTGTATTAATCTTATTTAACTATTTGTTGTTCATATTGTTTTTATTGTTATTTTCTCATATTTATATCTTACTTGTTTACTTATTTATTACATATTGCTTTTATTGCCACTCCTGCTGCTGTAAATGTCCCCGTTGTGAGATTAATTATTATTGATTATCAGTTTTTTCTGCAGTGAATTTGCTTCTAAAATGACCTTTAAAATAATTTCTATTCTTTTGTGACAGTTTTTGTTCATCGGTGTCTTCATCTTCATCTTTGTTTGATCGCCATCTCCTGGTGACTGCTAACAGCTCAGGAACACCACTGACGCTCCTGAATATTGTCTGAGGATGGATTCAGCTCCTAAATTAAAATAACTTCATGAATGGATTTTGATTTTGGGCTAAAAGTCGAACTAAATATGTGAATTTTGGCCGATTACAGACTGATTTCCTGCTCTGATAAATATTGTAAATTCATAAAATCAACTGTTTAAATCTGTTACGTTTAAAAAGTTTGGTTAAAAAGCTAAAAGAGAGTTTATTTACATGATTTACTTCATTCCTTATTGTTGAATGTAAACAGTAACAGTGTTAATCAGTGACCTGCAGGGTGGTCTGATTGCTTCTGTCTCCACCAACGTACCTGATGAACTAACAGAGCTAATAACTTAATAACTTATTAACATGTTAAATGATGTTTTAGTTAATTTAGTTAGAGAATAGTAAAATCTTTGCTCGTTGGCGCAGCGACTCGTAGACAACAACAACAACAACAACAACAACAACAACAGTAACTGATTCACTAAATTATCTACATAGAGAATAAACACACTGTAAAAGTGGATTTAACTAAAAAAATTACTGAAACTAACTTAATTCTTTAAAAGAAAAATTTCTTTTTAAGTTTAAAAGACGAAAGTAGCTTCAGTAATTTTAGATTTAATTAAATTTTTTTATTTGTATTTAGTAAAAATAACTTAATCAAGAATGTTTTAAACTTACACAAATGAGTTTGTGTTAATTAAAATGCTCATCAGTTATCTGAGTTAATAAAACTAAAAACATGTTAGTAAAAGTAAACTTAACTTAATTTTAAGTTGAAAAACTTAATTAATAATTGATTAAGTTAGTTTTAGTGATTTTAAGTAACAACGACTTAATTTTTTAAATTTTTATTTGTATTGTAAAAACAATTAAAAGAACTCAATCAGGAATATTTCTGTAAAAAAGTTGGTTTACTAGTTAATTAATAGTAAAAGCTACTTTAGTAAGAATGTTTTTGAACTTACAAAACTGAGTTTGTCCAACTTCAAATGTTTGATGTCGTCAGTTTCAACAAAGTTTTCAACTTTCATTCAAAAATTGTTGAAAAGGATTTTATTGAAAATTTTAAATCGAACACAAACTCTTATTTTGTAAGTTAAAAAATATTCTTGATTAAGTTAATTTTACTTGAAATTTTCAATGCAATCAGTTTCAACAATTTTTGAGTTAAATCAACTTATTTAGTGTTTCAGTAGAATAATGTGACAGAAGTAAAGATGCCCGACCTCTGACTCCGCTGTGTCCTTTTTGACTTCTTGAACTTTCCCGTCCTCCGCTTGAGGAGCATCGACGTCCGGCGTCTCCGTCTCCGTCTCCGCCTGGGCGGGTTCTGGTGGGTCGGCCGCCGGCGTGGAGGGAGCCGGGGTGCTGGGAGGGGGGTCTGTCTGAACGGGGGGCGTGGTGGGAGGACAGATGGGGATCTCTGTAGCGGGCGGTGTGGAGCCGGACGCCGTCAGCTGCTTACTCTTTGATTTTAAAGATGGCGGCGCCGGATCTGAGGAAAAGACGCGTCAGAAGTTTTTATTTAAGTCACAACACTGAAAAACGAATTAATTTAATTTAGATTCTAATTTTAAATCATATTTTCTCTCTTTTTCTTTAATTTTCTATCACTTTGGTTTTATTTAAAATTCTGGAAATGAGGGAAATTACCTGAAAAATATACACAGTGGGCCTCTATCTCAGTATTTTATTAATTTCTACGAAGAAAACTAGAAGTTTATATTATTTAAGACCTGATAAACAGCCTCGTCCTGCGTTAGAAAACAACCACGGAGCTGATTAAACAACGAGAAGAAAACACTGAATCTGTCAAAAAAGAAGCCAATTAAGTCTGTTTGATTGTTTTAAACTAACAAAATATATAAAAGAGACAAAGAATTGTATAAAAAAATCATACAAATCTCTGGTTTTACACAAACTTCCTGCAGTTATTGTGTTCACTGTTTGTGTTCATTGTTCAGTTCATCAGCTGTTCTCTGCTGTTATTGTTATTATTTAATATAATATAAAATATCTATAAAATATGTCCCTTTACTGGACGCTGCTGTAACATGATTCACAAACCTGATTGAGGAGCAGGATTCGAACAGTTCTTCAGTGTTTTGACCTGTAAGAGAAACAGGAAAATCAAACTGTTTATATCAAACTGTTTCCATGTTTGCACGTTGCTGATCTGAATACTTTTGTTTTGTGGTCAACTGTTGATTAATTAGAACGACACAGATTCAACAAAAGCAAATTTAGGCTGAAATTATCCAGAACTCAGCAACTCACACCAAATACATCGAGATGGATAAATAATACTACAGGTAAGAGGATGATGTTGATACTGTGGGATTAACCTCTATGATCAGACTGAATCCAGACTGTATTATATAATATGTATATTATATAAACTGGTACCACACAGACCACAGAACAACAGAACAAATCCATGTCGTACCTTCTTCTTGGGCCCCGTTGACGCCTCCGCCTCCAGACAGTACTCCAGGATCTTCTGGGTGGGTTTCCTCTTCCGCTTCCTCCCCAGCACTGGAGCGTTTCCTGTCAATCAAACGTAAAATAAAAGAGGTTATTCAACTGGAATATTAAAGTTTAATGTGCAAACAGCTCAGACGGCACCGACCATTACAGAGAGAGAGTTCAGTAGGCTGATAAAGCTGTGTAGTCAGCGATTTATTCACTACCCACTGAACTCTGATTGGACGATTGTTTCACAAAAGCAGAATAAAGACATCCAGGTTAACTAAAATAAAGTCTATTCAGAGCATCCTGGATTCATAGGTTCGAGTAATTTGGATAAAAAGCAACAGACCATGAAAGTCGATTTACTGATGTTGAAAAGGAGAAAACTCTTTAAACATAATTTACATAATGAAAGTTTATATAAAACATATTGTGTTTTGTTGCTTTATAAGTTTAATTCATGTTTTTAATATCACAGACCTCTGCACAATTATTAAATAACTGTACTGAGTGGCAGTATGTAGCCCACCTGGAGTATTTAAACCACTTTCTGATCGCAGTGATTTCTGATTGAACAGATAAAGCTCCAGGATCAATCAGGCCTGATTGTCTGGAGCTGCACAGAATAAATCTCCATGGTAACGTGTGCGCCGCTGCTTTCATGAAGCCGAGTCATGAATAAACTCATCCAGGATAAAACCCCGGCTTATTCTGCTATCTAGGTTTTATCAAAACCTTCTGGTGAAGATACAACAGGATAATATAATAGGATATATAATAAAAAAACTACTTAAGATCCATAAGAGATAATAGAGATTGGGAATAAACCAACGCCTACAAACTGATTTTAATGTTGTTATGGATGAATTTCATTTTGTGATTCATTCAAGCAAAAAAAAAAAAAAAAACTCCAGCAGTGAGTCTCCATAAAGCCTCATATTAAAACAGCAGAAATAAACTTGTTTACAGTCTGATACAGGAAACAATTTTGGTCTTTTTAGGTAATTTACTCGTTTATGTACGTGGGGTGAATTTTAATACAACTCACCACAAAAAAAACCCAATATATTATTATAATATCATATAATAAGACAGTTTTTGTAACTTGCAGACAAACGCAGCCTCACCGGTGTCTTTGACGGGGCCTTCGGACAGCAAGGGATCAGCCTCGGGGGGAGGAGTTAGTGTGTCAATGGAGAGCACCGGTGCATCCTGGGAAGACGTGTTTTCAGTGCTGGGAATTTGTAGTTCATAGGGTGTTGTTGCAGCGACTTCCTCAGGAGGCGGCGTCTGTATTTCAGGAAGTAAGCTCAAGGATGGGTGGTCGTGTGCATCCTTGTCCAATCCCGAGGGTTCAGATGGGGTGGTAGCAGCGGCGGCAGCGGCAGTGGTGGTGGTGGCGGCGGCGGTGGTGGTGGTGGTGGTGGCGGCGGCGGTGATGGGCTGAGGGACCTGAGAAAACAGACAACGTGATTTCATCAATCGGGGGATTTCATGCGTCGCTGAATGCCGAAGTATTATGTAAACTATATAAGAACAATTAATTATAAAGTTACAACAGATCTTACTTTGTATGAGTTTTACCTTTCCAATCAACTGGAGAGGCTTTTTGTTTTTTCTTCCTCGTGGAGAAAATCTGGTCGTATTCTTCGGTCCATTCGATCAGTCTCTTGCTCGGTTTTCGTATTCGTTTGTGTGCTGAAAAATATATATGTAAGAAAAAAAACTAGATTCTTTTAATTCCTGTAGTTTATAGTGAAAAAGCAACCAAACCTCCCAGTGAACACAACCTCCAAGACAGTTTGACGACGGCGGTACCGAGGTGATTTATGGAGTTTCCTGATTCTTCTTGCTAAATGAAGCTAACTGTCGCCAACAGTAATGTTAGCTGCCATTAGCTAGACAGCTTGTGCAGCTAATGTTATGTCTCCCCCCATGTCTCTTTTATCTTTTAACTATCTTCAAAAAATGGCTGTCTAGATGAGTTTAGCACATAGCATGTCTAAGTACAGGAAAAACAATTCCTCAGGTGGAAAAGTCTCTGCCTCTGATTGGCTTCTTTGGTTTGGTTTGTTAGGTTTAGGCTTTAGGTGTGAGATTGGTTAGGGTAAAAATGTCAATTCAAAAGGGTTATGCCATCAGAGGCAGAATACGACGGGTCACGTCTTCACCAATTACAGGGCACAGGAAAGGGGGAAGTTGACCCAGGTTTTGACCGAGGATTGCTCAACTGTTATTGGAGCACAAAGCAAAAGAGGGCGGTGCTTAGGAAGGGTCAATTCCGGGTGGATTTGGGTCGGATTATGCTTCACTATTTTGGACTCTAAACTAGAATCCTTACCTGTTGGTGCCTTGTCGCCTTCTCCAACATTTCGCATCAAGCTTGTGTTGGACTCAGTGCAGTCTGCAACAAGGCCATTCGGCTGCTCCAGACATAGAGTAGTGTTGCACCCCCTCTGCTCCAAAGGCACCATGTTCTGTAGATTCTCATTAACCCTGCTCCACCTCTCATCCTCCTCCTCCTCTCCAACCACTCCTTCGCCTCCTCCTGCCTGCCTCTCCCAGCTGCAGGTCTGTATGCCCAACAGGGACTGGACCCTTGATTGGCAATCCACTCCTGATGATGGCAAAGACTCCAGTCCTGGGAAACCCGGTCCAGACCTGGCAGGACGACAAGGCACTTTGCGGTTGGCTTTCTTTTTCACCCCAGTGGAGCCGCCCCTTCTGTTGTAGGGCCTCTTGGATGTCTGACTTGTGCTGCCTTCATTCTGTGTGATTTTGAATTTGTCTGAACCTGAACTGTTAACATGTTCATTGAGTTGATCTTTGCCTGCAGGCGTAGCCTCCCCAGGCATCACTAGGGGTTCCTGCTTAACATGTGCACTCGGAGGCCCAATTTCCAGTTCTAAGGGGGTCCCTTCCCGCTCTCTAGTGTCATGCAAGTCTTTTAGCATCATAAGGAAAGTGCTGAACTTGTAGTTTGTGTCTGCTTTGAAAGAGACGGGTTTACCATCACCCTCATTCGTCAGTGACTGGAAGGAGACCTCCTCCACGTTTTTAAAGGCATTCATAAAAGAAAATGGTGAGGAAGGCGAGGACGAGGTGCATATGTCAGAGGAATGATCTTCCTTCTCTGCCTTTACCTTGGAAGTAAGAGGTATGAAGTCCATTGGTGGAGTTGAGGATATTGAGAGGTTTTCATCTTCGCTCTTGACTTCAAAGTCAGTTGAATCCGAGAAAATCAAAGGTGAGGTGCTACAGCTAGAAAAGGTGTCCTGATCATACTCGCCATTGTCATTACAATGAGATTTTACTTTAGTGCAAAAGTTCCGTTTGGCCTCAGGATTCCAAGTGGACTCATCTTTACTTTGTGGATTTAAGAGTTCTTTCTGCACAACCTCCTTTCGGGCTCTTTCACGCTTCCTCTGGTCCGCCTCCTGCAGTGCCTTCAGGGCTCGGGTCATAAGCCGGCTGCTGGCCGGGAGGTGGGCAGGCTGCTCATTTAGTAGTTTATTCACTTTCTCTGCAATCTGCTTTGATTTGTAGACAACTTTCTTGAACTTCTCAGAAGACAGGCCTTCGGGGAGGTTCTTACAGGCTAAATTCGCATGCCGTTGAGAAGACAGCGGAGTTGTATTAACTACTGTACTAGTCACCGTCGTAGGTTTAGGCTCCGAGCTTCCTAACTGCTCAGACGACGTGCTTGTTACATCTGAGGCAGAAGTCTTCTTACCTTCTGACCGGTCTGATTGGTTCGTCTCATTGCTCTCATTGTTCACAATTAAAACTGGTATCCTTTCCGCTTCTGGACTACGTAACTCATCAGACACACTCGCCACATCGGAGGCAACGATAGCTTTACCTTGTGATGATTCTGATGAGAGACGAAGAATACCGGTCCCACATCTTGCTTTTAACTTCTTAACTGAGACCTTTATGGATTCTGAAGAAATGACCGATACCTGATCTATGGAGACGCTTGCCTTGCTTTTCACACTATCTGATTGTTTTGAGGACGTTTTAGTTGCATTAGTATCTTTTTCATTCCTTTTTGTACATGCAAGTTGGTCCTTGGGACTAATGGTTACACTGGAGGTTAGGAACTTCTTACCTTTTATGTCCTTGCGTATTAATTTGACAAAAGGCAGCCTACACTTAGAGACCAGACTTGTTTGCTTTTCTAGCCTTGATAATGAGTCAGTAGTGTCAACATTTGAACTAGAAAGTGGAGTCTTGTTGCTTTCTTTTTCTTCTGCTTGGTGAGAAATCCTGTCAATCACATAGACCTTTTTATTAGCCGTAATGTCTGAATGTTCAGTTCGACCGACACCCTTTACACTCTCTGAAAACCTGGATTGGTCACTGAAACTGGGCTCAGAGGCCTTTTTTACATCTGAGCTACCTAACTGGTCAGACACTGTGCCAATCACAGTGCCAGTGGTATTACTGGCTGTCTGTCTCTTTGAATATTCACACTTGTCAGAGAGTACAGCAGTCTCAACGGAGACCTTCTGTCTGTCTGACAATCCTGATTGGTCAGCAGGACTGCCAGTTGTACCAAAAGGTCTATTAGCAACCGGGGTGTCTTTACACTTCAAATATCCTGATTGTTCAGGCGGTAGAATTGTTTCAGGAGGTACCAGAGTCTTATGCTTGTCCAACAACCCTGACTGGTCATTGTGCCCACCACTGGAGGAAGCACTAGGAACAAGCGTCTTTTTACTTACAGATGAGTTCTTTTTCTTACAGGGCACCTTACTAAATAGAGTGCGGTCTGGCATCGGACTGGTCGTTTTAGGGCGTCTGTCTTTGCCTGACTTACTGAACCAAAGACCGCTCTGAATCTCTGGCTGCTTCTTCGCCTCTTTGACAACTGTAACAGATGGTTGAGTCAGGACAAGCTTAGACTGACGTTCAAGTGCTTTAGGACACAAAATCTTCGGGACTGAGTCAATGTCAGAATATGGGCACTCTCCATTGTCTCTAACTGACTGGTCAGGGCTATGACACAACGCCTTTTTGGAGTGTTTACTATTGAAGTCCTTTGACGATTTACTTGGTTTCTTCTTGCCAGAAGATTTCCTTAAAGTGCTTGGCTTTGTTGGAGTTGTTACTGGGGATGAAATTACTGGGGATAAAACCAATCCATTAGTCATGTGCGATGTCTCAGGAAGAGTGGGTGAAGTAGAAGAAGGAAAGGTTGGATGGGTCTTGTTCACTCTCTCCGGCATTGAACTGTCGTGGAAGGCATCGTCTATGGACGAAGAAATGGAGGAAGCCATTTTGGGTCTGTCTGGGAGAATAGATTCAGCTTTTGCTACACTGGATTTCCAAGAGTTCTGAAAACGCTTTGCAATCTGAAGAAAGACAAAAGCAAACACGGATCAATCTTTGCTCGCATTTTAGTTCACAGAAGAATTTGTTCACAGTGTTCCAAGGAAACCAAGACCAAAGTTTTATTAGGGATTCATCGGTTATGAAGTAGTAATTACAGTGTATTTGTAGTTCTGCTCCCTTTGCTTCCCCCTCCGGCGCAGCAGGGGGAGCTGTTCGAATTCAAAGCCTCCATGGAAGGTGTGGGTTGATTTCTCCTCAACCCAGATTAGCTCCACAGGCTCCCCAAACGTCCTGATGTGGTAGAGGCGACAGGGCCGGTCACTGGGTTCTGAAACAACAACAAGCTTCAGTCAAACTTCATCATCCTGCACAGGAAGTACAGGAGTGCAACAACCAAGCAAATAGTTGCTTTGAAATCCAAGAATTCTGAACTCTCAGACGTTACTACAGTCAAATCTGCAAACTACCAAAATTTATAATTTATAATTTGACAGTGGAAGTAGAAAAATCCACAATACCAACAGTTTTTGGGGATTTACATCAACCTACTGAGACGTTCGGACAATCCAAAAGACAAAAGCTTTTGTGACTAAACTTAAAACTGCAGAAATCCACAGCTGCAAGAGAAAAACATTTATGACATGAAAACATAGAACAATCAGTGGATGCAAGTTGTTTGACATAACTGCTTTCGACAGGGTTGGATAGTTTGTGTCTCTGTTGACTTTCTTCAGCAGTAAGTTTTATAAAGTCGCCCAAAAATCACGACTTAAGTTTGGGATTTTTTCACCTGCGATTCTGGTTTAACAACAGGTGAGCTGCATGTGGAGGAGTCTGGTTGCAAATGACGTTAGTGTTGTCACAATACCAAAATTATTGTTTCGATACCGATACTAAGTCAAGAATTGCGATTTCGATACTCTTCCTGAAAAGGAGAAACACTCTCAAATATTGCTGTGCTTTATTTTAAAACCAGGACAACATTTTAATCAAATAGCACACTAATAAATGAACATATGGATAGCAGATATATTAAACATTTGAACAAAATATGAAATATCAAAATATAAAAAATAAATTAGAGCAATGACATTCAAGGTAAAAAAAATAATACATTTAGCAGCATTATCTCAGTTATCATAAGAAACAAGAGAAAACATAACTTTATCTTGATTCTGAACTTTGAATAAAAACATGAAAAGTGATTTTATTAAACAATGTAAACATTCAAAAGATTAAATATAATAATGCCTGGGGTACTTGTTGTGCTGCTCAAACATAGCTTGGAGGGTTGGCTGCTGCTTTTGAGGAGTTGCTCTTTCGGAGCCTGTGGCTCCAGACTTCTGTAGCAGAAGAAAATGGAAATATTTAAAATATGATGGGGATAAATTTGTCATAACAGAGGACCTAAATAGTTTATGTGTGATAGTAACAATAACTTGTGTCTAACTTAGCATCTCTATATGCAGCTAACATTTACTTATCCATAACCTCTGCGGTCTGTGCTCTTTAAATGCTGTAATAACCTAATAGAAATAAATCACTGACAAACATGCACATGCTCTGATTATAATCATATAGCCTATAGATCATTTTAGCTGATGTTTTGATTGCTTTATTTTAGCAGCTTGCAAATTATTAACGTTATCTGTCAAAGTTGCGTTTTCAGAGATGTTGAATTAGCCGTAGGCAGGCTATTGGTTAGCCATGAGGATAATGCCCATAGTTAGTCTACTATTTCTCTAGATAGCCTCGTCAAACTACGGTGGTGCAAAATAGTGACTTCTCACAAAATAAACCATAGCCTACTCATTTGACTTATTTAAGGGCATGAACGTGATCGTGTTATCTTTCACATACTAACCTGTCGGTCTTTAAACTCCTTGTACAACTCGGCGTGCTTGTTGGCCAAGTGTTTCTCCAGGTTCGAGGTGTTGGCTTCCTTAGTTTGCATTTGTTTGTAGCACTGACGACAAACAGGTATCTACTTATCGGTAGCTTTGCCCTCACTGTCAGCAAGGTAGGCAAAGTACTTCCATATTTCACTCCTCGCGTCAGCTTTTTCTACCAGTCGTGGACCGGCGGCCACAGTCTCACTTGTGCTCGCACATGCAGCGATCTCGTTAAAGTGTTTGTCACATGACAGCTGCAGCTTCTTTGCACAGACGTCCATAGGGAGGCACTGGAAGAATGCATTGCACCCCAAACATGAATACGTCTCTTACAAATCTGGTCATTCTTAAAAGAATCGATACTAATACATTTAGGAATCGTGACGTTTTTAATTTCTGATAATCGCAATACTTTTGAAGTATCGGTGCACCGTGCAACACTAAATGACGGAGCCTATCGAAATGATCTAAACCAACGTGGTAACAAATGACATCAGTATCAGCTGAGGCGTTTACTGCTGGCATCGGCTTGGTCGGTTCTCATGACATCCCTACTTCCCATTTTAAACATGGATATATAAAGAAAGCTGCGTTGGAGGCGGCGCTCCTTTTCCTCTGAAAGCTGCTCAGTAGCACATGAAGCCAAAACAAAGCCACTTCTCGCTGTAAAGAAATTACCCAGATTACTGCTTCTTTCTGAGCTCTAACATTTCGGGTTTAGTCCTTGAATGGGGATAAAATGATTTAATCTTACAGCTTTATTGTTATTGTTATCTTTTGGCTACAACTTCAAATTTAATTTAGGTTTAAATCATTAAGAGTGATGCAATATTGTGTTTTAATGGTGCAAATTAAGAAATTCAGAGGTTATTTTCAAGTCTGGCTAACATAGTCTACACACATTTTTGTCCCACCCCTAACCAGGATGCCATTTACAACTGGAGACCAAAATAATCCATATGACACAATTGAAAGAAAACTCAGTTATCAACAGTGTTTCAGGCCCACCTTTCACTCTGTGGTAGATTCCCTGCACGGGGTCAATGGTCACCTCGCAGGGCCACCACGGTCTCCGGTTGAACTTTGCCCAAATAACTTCACCTTCTAAAAACTTCACAGGCGGCAGAGGCTTTTTCTTCAGGCTGTTCTGCTGTTGGACAAAATAACAGAGATAAAAAACTGCAATGAGAAAATTAGAAAGGTTTTATATTCTGTGGGATTCTCTGTTGCTCTCTGATGTGGCAGGAAATGTGAACCAGCTGTGAGGTGAATTAAATAATATTTCCGGTAGCGATACCGATTTATTTATCGAGGAAATAATCAGCACAAAGATCCAGATTATAACTCCAATAACTATTTAGATTATCTTCAGTCACAAATGAAAATGTATGCTCTAATACTGGCATAGAAGAGGACAATGAAAGCAAAGACGAAACGTGGGTGTTCAGTTCTCTCGCACTATTAAACTAGTGGTTCCCATCCTGGAGGTCGGACCCCCTCTAGGGTTCGCCAAAGCTTCACAGGGGGTTGCAGGGGTTTCTTGATCGTAAGGGGTGTAAGAAATCTTTAAAAATATACACATTAGTACACCTATATCTCAGCATTTCATTTGTTTCTATGCAAAAGGACTAAATGAAATGGTCATTTTTAAAGTTCAGACTATTATTTAAGATACATCTCGCCTCAGCTTGCTTTAAAAAAGTCGTTAAAACATGAAAAAATCTGAAAGAAAACATTGAAGTCAGAAAATAAGCCTACTAAGTTTGTATAATTGTTAAAAAATAAAGGACGATACAGAATACAGACAGAATTGTATAAAAAGTCCCTAAAAATATGAGGAAAACTCTTCTATACTGTTGTTGTTATGCATTGAATATAAGGTTGGGAACTACTAGTATTAAACTGCATGAAGAGAAGGTTTGCTACCTTTTATGTTCCATATGGGTCAAAGGTTTCAGTTTCTGACCAACAATGTTCTCTACAGGCTTTAAATTTAGCTTCTCTTCCTCCACAACAGGTTTGAAAGCGCAGTAATCACAACTACTGGCTGTATATCCTTTTTGTAAATGGGAGCAACCGCTCACAGCAGCAGGCTGAGCGGACCGGCGGGGTACATTAGCAGGCCTGAGTTATGACCGGCATGTAGCAAGACTGACTGGCCGGAGGGCTGAAACCGGCTGCTGCGATGATGTAACCCTGGCTGGAGCATTTTAAAGGAGTAGTTCAGTATTTTGGGGATAAGAAGCTCGTAAGTTTTCTTCCCGAGAGTTAGATGAGCTTTTAATGTAGATAGAAAGCAGTAGAAAACTATTGTCCCGATACACAGTATGATAACACGGTTATAAATGCTGTATAACCTCAGTTAAAGGGTCCAAATTGGAAGCAGGTCTCCTTTACTAGCCTGGTGTAGCTGCACGATATGACAATTAAAGGCAGGTCCCAATTAGAGGCCTGGGGCCAGAAGCATAAAACGTATTCATACGCAGTTTTTTTCTTCAATCATCCTCCTGATGAGTCCCACAATTTCCTATAAGGCCCGTCCACACCAACCTGATTATCGGCCATCGGACAGTCGGGCGAGGTCGGTGACTCGAGTCGGTTCGGTGTGTCCCGTGCCGTCGTCAGGCGGAGTCGGTGTCGGCGTTCATTTTGGCCGATTCTACATGTAGAATCGGCCAGTGGCCGTCGGCCTCAATGACCAATCTCATTGGTGAAGTGCTAGCCCTTGACTAGCAAATCAGTGAGTGCCCGAGAAAACCGGAAGTGACGATGGTAAACATACTATGCCAATGCCAGTATCTTGTTATTATTAGCCAACGTATTTTCCGTTCAGCGAGTAATGACAACAACGATCCTTCTCGACTACTATCAACACTCTCTGATGAAAACAATGACTGACGACAGCATGCTCTGTGCTTACTAGGTCTAAAGTGATCCGTCATTTCCTTTAAACGGCTTGAAACCACCCCTCCAGTTGCCTGATTCACGTACGAAGGATCAACATTTAGAGACGTTTGGAGGAGAAATGACGGAGGAATCGAAGCAGCTGATGAAGAAGAAGAAACTTAATTTTACAGAATGTCAACTGGAGGTAACGGAGGATCAAACTGACTAAAGAGAACTTGTTATTTGGATCCATAACAACAGAATGAAGTAACGTGAATGAACGAGCCGTTAAATTGGTTCTTATTCCTCAGTATTACAGGATAATAACGTCTGAGCTGCTGTATTTTCCGACTGTGTTAGTTGAATCTAAAGATAAGGCTTCCGATATCCGATGAGTAAGTTGCGGCAGTATCAGCACCTGATACCGACACTGGTTCAGATCTGCAGCATTATCTTGTTTGAAGGCAAATTACGTTTTCCGTAATTCCGGGGAGAAACAACAAAACCAGAGTGTTGGCGGGTCCTCGCCACCCGTTATTTACCACAATAATACCCAGTGAGGTTCCAGGTCGTGTACAGCGAGTGAGTGAAAAAGTAATCCAGAAAATATTTTATGCTTTTGTAATAAAGGGCAGATAGAAAGTCCATTTCAGGGTAATGAGGGTAAAACTTGCCATTGAATGCCTCGAGGGACTGTCCCCGAGCAGGAACAGCTCAGTGTCGCTCTCCCACTCGTCGTCCGAGCCGTCCCAGTACCTCCGGCGCTGTCCCGAGGACTGGGACCTGGTGACCACCTTTGCCGACACCAGCGCAGCATCTTTGGGGCCCCCGGGAGCAGGATGAAGGACCGAACTGCCCGCCCGCTCGCGTTGAGGCGACGTAACCTCCCGCTCTTCTTCATCATCCTCAAACAAAGAGGATTCGAAGTGTAGGAAGCCGTTGGCGAAGGGGCTGTTGCTGTCCAGGGAGAAGGCCGGACTCGGCGGGGCCGAGAAACAAGCTTCTGTCTTTTTCTCTGCTGGCGTGTCTCTGCTTCCTGTTTGGACCGCAGGTTGTTTCGAGGGTTTACCGAAGCTCTCCTCCCGGCTGGCATTCTGGGAGCCGGAATAATTGCCACCGTCACCCAAGGAGTCCCTCTCCTTCTTACTCACGCCCCACTCCCAGCTCCTCTCCGGCTCCCTCGCCGGCAGGACCAGGTCCGGCTGGCTCACCATGGAGGTGAGGTGCTGCAGCCTCCTGAGAGGACTGTAGGAGGAGGAAGAGGAGGAGGAGGTGGAGGAGGAGTGGTCCCTCTGCGTGAACCCGTACACATGCTTGAGGGAGGAGGCGGCGGCAGACATGGTTAGGCCGATGCGGTGGTCATGGTGTCTGGAGAGGTCACGGCCTGGGGTCAAAGGGCAGCTGGACTGGTGAGGGCCCGAGTAAGGCCCGCTCATGCTGGCATGGTTCCTCCCTGGAAACACGAGCAGAGGATTATCAGTGAGGAGTGATGCTAAATGAACAAACTCGCTCTAATTTTATGATATTGTGCAACAAAAAGTAAAAAGAATGGAAAAGAAAAAGCCCAAATTAAGATTAAATTCAGTCAGTAGACGAAGAATTAACATGAAAATACAAATACTGTTTAACTTTTATATAAAAAGTATCTTAAGTAGAATTTGTTAACTCCTGTATTTTGAATTTATTACAACTTAATTCATCCTCATACTTTGTGCTGTCAGACGTTCCACTTAACGTTTTTAACGTCTCAAAACATCAACAACAGTATCTTAAAGTCATAATGAGAAAATAAGTATCTTCGTATAAAGTTAAAATGAAAACAGAATATTTTCAGAAAATGGCAAAGATGAGAAATAAAGACAAAGGTCAAAGGTTCCCAAACATGTGTTCAACGACGGTTTCAGGTTATTTGTTCTCTCAAAAAAAGCAAAAGGTCCCATAAAGATCCAGTGTTTGGTTTGTCCCTTCTGGGCTCCTGTAGAAACATGGCGGACTCCACTAGAAGAAGACCCTCTGTAGATAAAAATGTCTCATTCTAAGGCAACAAAAACACAGTTATTGTTATGACCAGGTGACTAAACGCTAATAAAATACATACCTGTGAATATTATAATCAATAAATCTCCTCGATGTTTCAAACTGGACCTTTAAATTGTGTATTTTGTTTGTTTCTGAAGGTCAAAAGTTCCCACAATCACAAAGTCGTGTTAATAAGAAGAGAACAGATTATAATATAATCACATAAAGATCTATTGAGTATGATATTAATGGAGATATTGTCCTTCTCTAAGAACACAACTGTAGTATTTGATCTATTGTCTCAAACTTAAAGCTCCAGTGTGAAACATCGAGGAGGATTTATTGTCAGAATATAATATTAATAATAATAATAATAATATGTTTTCATTAGTGTTTAATAACCTGAAAATAAGAATCGTTGGCTGGTCTTCTGGCGCCATCCTGAACCGCCATGTTTCTACGGCAGACAAACCAAACACTCGCTGTAGTTACGACCTTGTCGCGTTGTTTCGCAGATTTAGCTTCCACCTTACGCTGCGTCCCGAACGCCCTGATTCGGGAGGGTGAGGCAAAGGGGTTGCAATCTGCAACTACACCACTAGATGTCACTTTAAATATATATAATCAAGTCCAGTCCAACAATACTATGTCCTGTTTTCCTTCAAAATAAAACCCACTGATGAAGCGCTCTTAATCAGGAAACGAGGTTATTAATTCAAAAAATCCACCGATGATGGGCACTGACAGCGTAACCATGGTTACCAGGCGGCCAAATGGATGTGACCTGCAATGGCACAACAATTGTTATCCCCCCGGACTTCACTCGGACTCGAACCTCTCTGGTTGAAGACCCAGGTCCTGATGAGACCAGCAGTGTCCTGTTATGTTGTTGTTTAATATTCTTGATATTCTTCTTTAATCCAACAATAAATCCCATTTCAGTTTCTAAAAGCTCAATAATCTGCTGTGAAGTTGTGATGAGCTCCTTTTCTTCCTCCACACAAACACAATCTGTCTTCCGGCGATGTCAAAATAAAACGCAAACACACACACTGAAGACCTGATGTGACATTTCTGGCGCACCGCAAACACCGTCCGCAAAACCTCATCCCGCACAATTATCGCGATATGATGAAAATGACATCAAGTACGATAAGGTCAGCGAGCCTGAATGCGACCACACACACACACACACACACACACACACACACACACACACACACACACACACACACACGGATTATCATTATTATTATTAACGCCGCTGCTGTAAAAACACACTGGATTTAAAATGGATCCGCGCGTGTACCTAACGCGCGCGTGCACATTTAAGTGTGTGCAACTGCATGTGTGTATGTGTGTGTGTGTGTGTGTGTGTGTGTGAGTGTGAGTGACTATATGTGTCGCTCGTGGCTCCACGAGACAGAAACACCATCGCTGCCATAACATGACTCGACGCCGAACACAGACTAACCCACGCACACACTGACTCACACACACATGCACACACTCCTCCACAGGCTTGCCTTCCGTCAGATGCAGCAGTGTGTGCATCAAACAGCAACAAAAATCACGCAGAAAACGCACGACGACGCGGGATCCGTCGCGAGAATCTTACCATTCCGGTGTCGGTCACCGCGAACGTGACCCTCGACCCGCTCATTGACGCGTTTAAATGCGCCAATTTCCAGTTTTTTGAGAGCGGATGAGGAGAGTCCCAGCGGCAACACTACTAGGCCTGGATCCTATGAAACACTCACCCCCCCGCCTCCCTTCAATCTCCCTCCTCCTCCCTCCCCCCTCCCTCCTCCTCCTCCTCTCATGCGCTATAAGCCCGGTCCATCCAGCGGCCCCTGGAACACAAATCCAAGCGCTCCTCCGGCGACACTCCTTGTTGCTTTATAATAACTTTATAATTCTCCATCTTTTGTTTGTTTTTGTTTGTATGCCTCCCCCCCCTCTCTCTCTCTCTCTCTCTCTCTCTCTCTCTCTCCTCTCTCTCTCCTCTGGTTGTGCTCACTGCCAGGCGTCACCACCGCCTCCCTCCCCTCCTCCCCTCCCCAGCCGGTCCACACAGCATGGAGCAGCACAGAAGGGGCCGTGAATCTCTCTTCTGGGGAGAATAAATAAATAAATAAATCAAATCTGAGCTTGACAGCCACAAACAAAACAATAATAACAGAAATAAAAGCGCACCGGACGACCACGCGTCCCCTGCACGGAACACCGCCCCTCTCCTTAATTACAAGCATCAATTATTAACCAGAACCAGGCTGCCATCACAAACTTGTGCCAACATCTCCTCCTCCTCCTCCTCCTCCTCCTTCACCTCCACCTCGACTCGCACTTATTGGGCAGCAGGAGATTTTTTAAATAAACACAATAAAGCCTCCTCAGATGATAAATTCTCATCGGTCCAGCAGAAAGGAGGAGAAACGGTTGCAGCAGCTACCCGGAAAAACAGGCGGGTTTCCTTTTTCCCTGAGCCGAGTTGCTGTTCAGTCTCTGGCTGCACAACCCGGTCCCTTCAAAATGGAGTCCTCCAGCCTTAGAGGAGGAAAAAATAAAAAACCAGAAGCAGCAGGCCACAAAGTGTTAATGCAGAGCTCGATATAAAGTTCACACACACACACACACACACACACACGGAGAAAGTGGGGCTCAACGCGCACTGTGCCGTACCCCGGAGGGTTTCCTGGAGCCTGTCTGGGTCCTGGATCTGCCAACGACAGGAACATGGGCTCTTTACATGCTAGGCTTCCCAAAGTCACTGTCTTATGAGCGTTAGTGCCACGACAGGGAGGCACAGTGTGTGTGTGTGTGTGTGTGTGTGTGTGTGTCTGTGTGTGTGAGCCAAACGGAAACATTTATTTTAATGGCACTTTTACGCACCGACTGCTCCGGTTTTTGGAGGTTTTCTGCGTTTTTGTTGTCAGTGGAGGAAACAACCGGAGGAGCTTCCCTCCCGGTTCTCTCTCTCTGAACGAGGAGCTGATCCTGGAGGCTCCACGGCCGAGAAACACGTCAGATTGGGTGGGTGGGTGGGGGGACGGTGGACATTTCTGACGGTGGACAGTGGGGGAGGGTTGTTTCAAGTGTTATAATGTTAAAAATACCCCCACCAACACACACTGTATGTCTCTCTGACACACACTAACCAGGAGGCGATGTCTGGGAAAGTGAACGGACGCCTCCAGCCTCCTGTGCGAGGGGGGGTCTGTTGGTTTTCATGGGGATAAAAGATCTGGTTCACAGCTGAGGACACAGACTCTTTATGGGGGGGGGGGTTCTGCAGCCACACACACGCGTCACACTCCTCGGTGAACATCCTCAGTCCGCCGCGCTCAGGAGGACTCTCTGCGTCCCGGACTGGATCCTAAACCCTGGGGTAGGGGGGCAGACAGGAGAGGGAAGGAGAGAGAAAGACAGGCAGACAGGAAGACAGGCAGACAGGACAGGGCCTGCTGCTGCTGCTGCTGCTGCGGGTTTTTTTTTTTTTTTTTTTTAGTGCAGCGCAGAAACAGCGCCGCGCACAGGCCGCACTCGGAGCGGGTTCCGGACTTCCCATCAGAGCTGGTTGTGATCTGACTGGAGCTGCGGAATGAGTGTGAGCTTCAGAAACAGACACATGCAGTCTGAGTACACTGTAACCCGGGAGAGGATCCAAATAAACCACAATAAACTTAAATATTGTAAATTACAAAATCTGACCTCAACATCATCAGAATGTATTATTATTATTTATTAATTACACCTCAGTTATATACTGTAGAATACTTATATTTATATCTTATATATTGTCATTTATATTGTATTATAATGTACATAATCATATGTTTCTATTCTTCTATAAATATATATATATATTGTGTTAGATATTATAGTTTTATTATTATTATTTGTTGCGCTTTCAGCTTCGTCAGCTATGATGAGGAAACTGTCTCACATGTTGCTTTTATTTTACTCTCTTCTTCACAGCAGCGGGAAAAAAACATCAGTAGCCATGGCTTCATGAAAAGTCACACAGTGCACCACTGCTACCAAACGTAAAGTGTCCCGAAGTGACGTAAAGTGCCCAAACACGTCTTATAATACAGGTTCATAACAGAACAGGCTGGTCGTAATTCTTACAATATGGGAGTATATCAAACACATGGGATGATATAACTTCAATCTAATGTAAATAATATGCTTGATGAGAATACACCCCCTCTTGTTCTCATCATCTCAAACTGAATAACATGACCACACACTTTCAGTTTCCAAAGAACCCCCTCTTGAACTTGATAATATTAGTCTTTGCTACAGGTTTTGTCAGTATGTCTGCGGTCATGTTTTCTGATGGACAGTAGAATGTCTATCTTCCCCTCACTGAGTGCTTCACGAATGAAGTGATATTTCACATCAATGTGTTTGGACCTCTGTCTGTTCACAGGGTTCTTACTCAATAGCTCCCTGATTGTCTCCATAAATCTTTGTACAGCTGTACACTTTATTATCCATACCATTTAACAGTTGGGTTAGATACACACATTCCTGAGTAGTGGTTGCTAGACCGATGTATTCGGCCTCACAAGTTGAAAGAGCCACTGTAGGTTGTTTCCTTGATTTCCAACTAATTGCAGGCCCTTGTTTGGTCAGGCTGAAACAATAACCTGTAGTGCTACGTCTGTCTGCTACAGAAGATGCCCAATCAGAGTCACTGAAAGCAATCGGGTTTAGATCCTCCTCACTTTTCTTGAAACTCAGCTCGTAGTCACTTGTACCTTTTAGATATCTCAAAACATGTTTGGCAACCACTAAGTTCTCTGCTTTTGGCTTTGCCAGTGTTTGTGATAATTTACTAACAATCCCACTAATATCTGGTCTGGTACAGGTCATGGCATGAATCAGGCTCCCGACAATCTCACGATACTCTTTAGGATTAACAACTTCATCTTTGTTGCTCTCCTCATTTGTGACACCGTCCAGTTTTGGTTCACATGGCGTGGATCTGGGTTTACTCTCCGACATTCCAAATCATTCAAGAATTTTTAGGATGTACCTTTTCTGGCTCATTTTGATTTCCTCTCCCTCTTGTTCAAACTGTATGCCCAAGGATGATATTTTCCCCAGATCTTTCATGTTGAATCTAGCTTTCATGGTGTCTTTGAATTTGCTGAGTAGGTCATTATTGCTGGCTGCAATGATTAAGTCATCTACCCAGATGATTACAAGGATTACGTCATTTTCTATATACACAGTGGTCAGATAGATTTCTCACTAAGTTGTTTTGTTCTAGGTGATCATTTAGAAGTTTGTACCAGTTTCTCCCAGATTGTTTAAGGCTGTAAAGGGATTTCTTTAACTTGTACACCAACTTCTTTCCAGTTACTGATGTCTTTTCAAAACCTTCTGGTTGCTCCAAGAATATTTCTTCATCCATTGGAGCATGTAAATATGCTGTTTTAACGTCCATTTGATGTACGATGAGGTCGTTTTGGACAGCTATCTGCATCAATGCCCGTACTGACATAATATTTGCTGTTGGGGCAAATGTCTCATGATAGTCTATGCCTTCTGTTTGATTGTAACCCTTAGCAACGTATCTGGCTTTAAAGATTTTTCCCTTTTCAGCATTTTCTTTAAGGGCAAATACCCATTTTCCTCCCACTAGGTTTCTACCTTCAGCTAACGGGGTCAGTTGAAATGTGTCATTTTCTTTAAGTGAGTCGATCTCTTCCTTCATAGCTTGTTTCCATCCGGGCGCCTCGGGTGATGTCAGAGCCTCACTATAGGTTTGGGGGACTCCACATACAGCCCTGTAACAATAATCAATACTTGTATGGGTTACATCATTATCTTTAATGTCTGTAAGATAATCATCTAAGTATTTTGGAGCCCTCTTTTCTCTTCTTGGGTAGCAGTGATTTTGACTATGGTTAGGTCTTGTGTCTGAACTGTTCTTGTTTTCACCTAGGACTACATTTTCTGTAGTTTCATCCTGTTGTGATACATCTGTTTTGTCTGTTTTTACATTGTCCTCGTTCTCATCTGTGACCAGTTTTTCTGTCTGTCCTCATTTTGTGACATATCAGCACTGTTCTCACTAGCAGGGGTTTTACCTTCACATCCCTGTGCTTCTGACACATATTCATCAGTTTGTGTCTGTTGTTCAACACTTTCCTTTCTGATGAATTTCACCAGTCTATGTTTTGACACTTTTTCTGTCTGTGGATTACAGACCAGATATTCTGGACTGTTCTCACTGTGCCCCACAAATATTCCTTTCTCACATCTGGGGCTCAGTTTCTTATGACCATGCTTGTATGCATAACACTCTGCTCCAAACACCCCCATTTTAGAGAGATCTGGCTTTCTTCCTGTTAACATGAAGTATGGTGTATTTTTGGTCCTGTCATTGTAACCTCTGTTACGAATATGAGCAGCATTTTGAACAGCATAAGACCACAGTATCTTTGGTAACCCCTTTTCTAATAACAGACACCTTCCCATCTCAAAAAAGGTTCTCCACTGTCTCTCAGCAGTGCTGTTTTGATGGGGAGAGTATGGGGATGATGGCTCATGTCTTATTCCTTTATCCCTCAAAAGTGACTGGAAATCATTACTCGTGAATTCTCTACCGTTATCTGATCTGATACATTTCACACTGCCATATGGAGCACTGTCTGCGAGGAATTCTTCTGTTGCAATTTATATGTCACTCCTGTTTTTAAGAAGTAAACACACTGCCCTGAAAAATATCTGTAATTAATGGCATACTTATGTCCATCCT